GTTAGGGCGTCTAACTAAGCAATAAGGCAGTTATAGTCATAGGTGCTTATTCTTAAGGAACTAGTTCTAATAGAAGCGTTGACTATTATATTAATGGCTAGGTAAAGAGTGACTAGGCTATAGAAATAAGGTTGACTATATACTATATAGTTTACTATAGTTATAGGTAAATAGCTAGTAAACTAGTTACTAGTTCACTAGTAGTTCACGTGAAGACGTAGTAAACTAAGTCGCGATACTCTTTCTTAGTTAAGAAAAAAGTGGGGTGCACGTGAAGGCCGCATAACGGGTTGTAACACTTTCCCTTTAAAGAAGAGGATATTAAAGTAATAGGAACGTTCTTTCCTTTAAGAGGTATAGTATTTTATATTACTTAGCGTTTAATATAGTAATAGTTTAAATAAGAGCTATTAATATATAACGTTAAGGTTAACTCTAAGCTATAGGGTAGATAGAGATAATATCGTTTTAGAGAGATAGTTAGAATGTCGAACTAAGTAATGAGGCAGCTATAGTTATAGGTGCTACTATTAAGAGGAACTAGAAAATTTAATAGAAGCGTTAACTAGGTTATTAATAGCTAGGGTGAAAGAGTATTCTAGCTAGGTGTAATCTAAGTTGATTATAATCTATCCCCTTTATTATAGAAAATATACACCTAGCTTAGGTAAGTGGGATTTGACTATAAAACAGTCGAGTCTACCGCTCTAAAAATAATAAATCAAGAACTTAATACTATATAATACTTTACCTACCTTTTAATATATATAAGCGTGTTAGTAGTGTGTTCTTATATACGCTACTAAGCGTATCAATATCTAAACGGTTAAATCCATAATTAAATCTATTAATCCCCTAGAGTATATAAATACATTCTTAAGAGAGATCTTATATATATTAGAGTACGGTCTTTAGCTACGAGATCCGACACCGTCCTTATTAAATCTAATAACTAAGGACATCTCTGCTTTTTTAGGTCACCCCTAAAGGACCGGAAAAAGTATAACACCCTATCTTTTAAATAGCGCTAGCGCCGCGATAGATACCAACTAGTCTTAATCGTTTAGAGGAGGATATATTATAACTTAATTTGTCGCCTTTTATTATAATGTCTTCCGGTTAAAAGACCGTAGACTTTGTCGTCTCGGGCATGATGAAGTAAGGCGCATAATATTATCGATATGAGATGTAGTGGTTCACTTGAGGGCAGACGCATAGTATCGGGGCGTGAGGAGGTATATCTTTAATTGATAATATGTACGAGAAGAGGTGTCGAGGGAAGTATTATGAACCTTCTGTTTCATGTGCGCCTAATACAGAGTCGCCATTGCCGTCGTCATCCTCTCTTTAAGACCCACGTCGCTTAAATAGCTAGAAACTAGCCCAGCATTCGCCATGTAGCAGGCTGGTGTGTCGGTGCGATAGCTTACATTGCAGGCGAGTACTGGGTAGAGGAACGTGTCGGCGCCGCTTTGCTATAGAGCCTCCATCTAATATTATCATGAATGAATTAAGCTCATGATCTGCTACTTCCCCGGTCCGTGACTCGTAATAAGAAGTCGAGAGAACATTGTCTATAGCTACAAAATGGTAATGTGACTGATGCAGATCCGGCCCCAGCCATCCGGCCCTACACTTGAGCGTAGCGGGGCCGGAGGACGGGCTGCCGCCGGTTGGCGCTACAGAGGCTCCTAGGAAGCAATCAGCCATAATTTGTGCATCTAATAAGCCGAGCACAAACACTCCGTATAAAGATACCTGCAATGCTGTCACAAACCCATAGAGCCAAAGGGAGCGCTGAGCACATACCAATCAAAATACGTGTACGTTATGATCGGTGCTGTTCTTATAGCCGTCTCGGTCAATTCAGGAGTTTCGGTCCTAGAGAGGGCGATGTGTTGTGTCATCTCACACATGAAGTACCGTCGTGAATAAGGACTCAATGCAACGGTAGTGCGTCAGATTCCAGTTCAGTTAAAATACTTCGCATATATAGCATCATTTAATTTTTGTCCCACCTATACTATACCCAAGAGCAAGTAAAACCAAGAAGTATCGATACGCAAACGAGAGAAACACGGGGTTGATAGCATACCAACCTTGCGCGCTCGGTGCAGTGTCTAGTTCATCGAGTATCGTAGTCTACTTATCAAATGTATTACAGGGATTTAACGCAGAAAAAACGATCGCAAGACTCATTGAATTCTATATAATAAGTACGGAAGGGAAGCTAAGGCCGTTAATTCACCCTTCTGTCATTTTAGAAATAATTGCGTATGCCAATTGATTCATATAAGGCTAATAGAGCAAATGGTCCCTTTAAAACTATGCTACTGCTTCTTATTTACCTACTTACATTTTGAATGGCGTAAATATGAAATAATCCAATGGACGCGAGAGTATAGTAGAAAATCAAATATGTTTTTATACCTGTCATGAAAGTATAAGAGACACTGGCCACTTTGATTATAACGTCATTTTGATTTTGCACTATTCATATAATTAAATTGATTATAGTGCTTTTGATTCAGAAGGAGATGCATTATAGGCAGGGCAAGTGATGCCGTAAATTCAGGGATTGCTCTAAAAGATATTATATTTTCTATGCAATAAAAACAAGAGTATAATTGTTCAAGAATTCAGCTAAAAAAAGATACATGTTCTTTTATCACAGAAATGTAATCGTACGTATGCATATTACCTTCTATTCTATTTGAATTATTTTATGGTATACACCTGCATTTAATAATAAGTGGATTAATATATTTATTTCAATATGGGGGCTACGTGGCGCTTCTGTAGCTTTGAATTATAGAAATCAAAGGACTTGTAGTATGTTTGCCTTAGAATATCATTACCTGCCCCGTGATATAGAAATTCATATGTGGTATTATCATCTGAGATTTCCTTTAAAAACCAGAAAATAAAGATTTTTTTTTAAATACGTTATCAATTCCGTTGACCTACCTATTCACGAAATGGAGGCTCGACCTCTTTTTTAGGACGTTTCAGTGGCTAAATGTATGCATAGTATTCTTTTCAGTCCGCATATATGGCACTCATTGTCGTAAACTCAATTATTTCGCGATAATGCAAATAGTTGTTTAATATGATATATACACCTGTGTTCCTGTTTCTAAGTTTTTATAGATTGGTCCCCTCTGTATGACCCTGGGATAATTAATGTTTCGATAAGTTGGAGGTTAGATCTACGCTGGTAGGATCTGCAGCGAATATATTGCGAAAATGCCTGCGGTTGCTGTCCGGCCAGAAACCTTTGAAAAAAAGATGAGGCACAATCGGAATGCCATGGACTCTAGGTAGCGAGCGTATGGGAGTCATTTCACTTTCGATAATAGTCCATTAACGCATATAAGACACTTTTGAATTGACAGATAAGGGATACGTGTACTAGGTATTGCAACTTGTGCATGACGGGAGACTACCACCAAAAAGAAGAGTCTACGAAAAGCCAACCATTCTTGATGGTCTTATCGAGAAGCCTACGGTGTTACATATTCAAATCATTGTAGGGGGCCTCGATTGCCTCATGTCCGACTATCTTGACGAGGACAAAGCTCCGGCACTATGCGCGATACATTTAACATGATATCATGATAATCCGCTAATTGCTACAACATGCTAAAAGAATCATCGAAAACCCTTCGAGTTTCTCGGCCCGTAGCTTCTCCCCCCCGGAAGTACACCCTGTAGTATCTAATAGGCATATCGAAAATTCTTGTTCTCTTTGTCTGTGAGCGTTGTCCAAGAATCTGGACTCATAAATGCATCCTCCGTATCCTTTCGAGCACCGCGTCTCTTGTTAGACCACAGGTAGTAGAGGAAAAGTAAAAAGGTTGTGAAGGCGCAGCCAGCTTGGGTTCCCATGACGGCTAGTTTGGCTGGGCGGTATTGAGGAGCATCACGAGCCCGGAAGGTTTGAGGGCCTATAATGTTTCCAAGAGAAAAGGAGCCACTTATGATGGCAGTGGCAAACGCACGCTTGGTGGCACCACCGAAGTTGGCCGCAGTCCACTAGAAATGAATCAGCTTCATGTGTCTTGTAAACTGTAGGCAGCAGTGACGTATAGCTTACACTGTAGAAGAGGGTCAGGGGCGCGACAACTGCATTGACAAGGTAGACACCAGCAAGAACCCCGGATCTATTAGTAGCAGGGAGGAACGACATCAAGGCTCCACCGAGTATGCTGATAGAATTGTCAGCATCTTCATAGCCTAAGATAAAATAGCTGATTGAGAAGACATACGCAGGGATAATACAGCTGATGATCCACGCCCAGCGGTGAGAGCCAAAGCGAACACCAAAACCAACGAGCAGTGTGAAAAAAATGCTGACGGCACCAGATGGCATATTCATCAAGGCTGCATGCTTGGGGTCGTATCCGATATTGAGAATTAGAGTTGAAGAATAGGTCGTGACGATGCCGCTGGAAACAGATAGCTAATTCAACCAAGTCAGTATGTGAGAGGACTTCAAATAACAAAAAAGAGACAGAAAAAGCTCACCAAAACGACAGACAAGGTCAAGAGATACATCTGAGGGTCACAGAGAGCCTCCAGTATCTGGCGAGGCCGGAACTTACGGCTCTCAATGCCCGTCTGATTGACACTGACATGTTTGAGCAACGCCACCTTTTCATTATCGCTAAGCCAGGTTGCCTTCATCGGGGTGTCGGGCATCAAAGTGAACACGGACAGGCCAATGACGGCGGTCAGTACGCCAAGGACCACGAACATAATGCGCCAGCCGGCCAGTGAAGATCCGGGAGTGACGTGCTGGAAGCCATAAGATATGGCACCTCCGAGAATCTGGCCAAGACCGAGGCCGAGGTACCAAAACGAGAATCGGGGAGCTTGCTCTCTCTTTGTGTACCATTGGCTGCTGATGAGCATGAGAGAAGGCCCGATAGTAGCTTCAAATATTCCTAGGAAGACTCGGGATACAAGGAGCGACCGATAATCTGAAGCAGCCGCGCCACAAGCAGTAGCCACGCCCCATAGAGTAACGTTCAAGCCTAGCCATTTAGCAGCTGGGACCATCTGAAGAAACCAGACTGAGATACGAAGGATTTATAGTAAGCAAGACGGCTTGGGACAGCAGGATAAGGATGTGAGACTGACTGTTTGGAACCTCAAAGCAGAGCAAACCAACGAAGAGGAACGTGGCAATATTCGAAAACTCGTTGCCCTTAAGCTTTAGGTCTTTAGTAAGGCCCATGACGGCAGCATACTATATGGAATTGGTCATTCATTCATTCATTCGTCTAGAGTGACTAAGGGAAGCGGGCGTAAAACGTACATTGAGGATGACCTTGTCCAGGAATTGCATTGTATAGCAGCAAAACATGAGTGGGACGATGTGCCAGTCGATCTTATGACGCAATGCTGTCATATCGACTGGGGCTTGCTCTGATGCTTCATTGCGGTGTTCATTCAGGAACTTCCAGGCCTGGTCGACATCATCGTCCGGCCTGTCGGGAGCTCGAGTCTCAAATGCGGTATTAATACCGTCGAGCTTGGTGCTCTTTTCGTCGTATGATGATTGCATGGTTGAGAAGAAGGCAATATGCAAAGAGAGGACGAATGGGATGAAAAGACCTACGCAACTCGGCTGTCTTAATGGTGCGATCAAGAGAAGGCAAGATCCGAAGAAAATGAGATACAGAGACAAAAGGATTGTCAAAATGATGGGTCCGGATCAATGTCAGATCTCGCCTTTTATTATCTCCAGCGTGCATTTGATAATAACACCTCAGTGATCTCACACAGTGGGATTCTCACTAGTCAGCAAGGAGAGGAGAAGCAAATAAGGTAGGTGGTGGTGGGTGGTGTCGTATTGATAAAACATCTGATGACGGTGGAGAAGATCTGAGCCCATGTTGGTTCCACCTGGGGATCCAACGTGACAGACAAGGTGCGTTTTCAATGTTTTGGTGACTAGGAAGAGTTTCCATCGCCGCGATTGATGACTCCCCTGAGAGGCTGGAAAGACTCAAAAAGCTAAAGACGGCGTCGAGTCTGGAAAAGTGGCTTTCCTCTGTTCGGAACTCCGTGGTGGGTTGCCTGGAGGGAGACGTATCCCTGTAGCTGACCCACGAGCCGTCAAGTCTTGGCGCGGGGGGACCATACGGCTTGTTGCTCTACGTATGCTGGTGCATGCCAATTAACATTGGGGTTTGCTGCTAGCTCTCAAGTAAGAAGATGGAAATTTTGAAGAATCATGGACCCGGAAGAAGGAGCATTGAGAACTTGTTCCTTTTGATTCTTATCGTCAACAGCTTGTTTTTGGGGGCGAAGGCGCGGGGTTGCATTGCATCCGTCGTGCCTTCCCCCATTTTATTTTCGTTACTGCCAAATGAGGGGGAGGTTCACAGGAAGTTGCTGATGCAACCCCTACCTGTGCTCTGTGCTTTCCGCCGCAGTATATTATTAATACCAAAATTCCAACCAGTATTATTACATTGACTCCTGGTTTCCTTCTTCTTTCACTATCTTCACGTTTCTCGGGTGTATCAAAACACATTCATCAATACTCAGGCACCCATTTACTGGATACCAACGACCTTATACAATGACCCATGGCGCCGCCACTTTGCCAGACTGAAGAGGGCCACCGATGGCTATCTAGTCCTGCTGCTTCTTCACCCGGGATCCTTGACTTTGGATGCTATGTATCACCGCACCACATTTAGCATATGTACGTGGTCGTTGCCATCTATTTGCCGAGCCGGGATAGTCCAACGGCGGCTTTCGTGCCGTAACTTTGCGAACGACGCCAGTCGATAGTCAACCAGATTAGGTCCAAGGCAGGGGCAAAAGACGGCGCTGTTGGGTTGCAATTAAAATTATAATTTCGGCGATATATTTCAAGAACATCAGAAGAAGTAGAGGTCGTCCTTCAATCGCTGGAAAGACCCGGAAATTGCCCAATTTGGTCTAGTTTTAAGATGGGGCACCCCTCTTTTGACCACCTAAAGACCACATAACGCGAGCCCGTCAAGGGCGTTAAACTTAACATAAAAGGATCGCGATTGCTTTATTTAATGTTTTCTAGCTAGTCAAGCTGCTATTCGTGACATTAGGCCTTAAATTCAATTAATCTAGTTAGGTATAAAGCTAGGCCGGCTTAAGCTTCTATATTATAGCTTTAGTAATGGCTAGCTTAGTATTCTACCTATTAAGACTACGCCTAATCTTCTAGAATAGTAGCCCAGCCGTCTTCTAATTTATCAAGTCTGTAAGGAAGGTCTAGGCTAGCTTATAGACTTAACTTAATTCCTAATCGTTCAGGCATCTATACGAGCCTTATAATAAGGCTCTAGGAAGGTTGCCTTACTAATAGGCGTTAAATTGTTAGATAGCTAATCTATAAGATCTTAGTACAGACAGTCTTAATAGGCCTAAAGATTAAGAGATTAAGAGGCTATAAGATATATAAGGTATATAGTAGAAGGTATAGTAAATAGATATTATTTCTAGAATATTTATATATAAAATCGTCTATTATATAGCTACTATAGGTATTAATAATCAATAGCCTAGCTTTAAGCTACTTTAGCTTCATCAAAAGAATAAAGACCGATTATAGATACTAGAGTATAAGGGCGTTTAAAGTCTAGTTATTTATTAATGCTATAATCCTCTAATCAGCTATTTAAAGGACCTCTTTAAACTATCAGGCTTATATGCTTTTATTATACTTTTTCGCGGTTGTCATACTTTTTCCTAGTCTTTTAGGGTAACCTAAAAAAGCAGAGATGTCCTTAGTTATTAGATTCGTTAAGGACAGTGTTAGATCTCGTAGCTAAAGAGCATAATCTAATATATATAAGACTTCTCTTAAGAATGTATTTATTTATTATAGGGGATTAACCGTTTTAATATTAATATGCGTAGTAGCGTATATAAGAACACACTACTAACACGCTTATATATATTAAAAGCCAGGTAAGGTGTTATATAGTGTTAAGCTCTTAATTTATTATCTTTAGAGCGATAGACTTAACTATTTTATAGTCGAGTCCCGCTTACCTAAGCTAGGTGTACATTTTTTATGACAGCGGTCTTCTAGGGTGACCTAAAAAGTAGGAATGTCCTTAGTGTAGGATTCGATAAGGACGGTGTTAGATTTAACGAAGGGAAGATAGGATCCGACACTAGTAAGACCTCTCTCGAGTAGTATTAGTTATACTTATAGGAATTAATTAGTAAAATGTTAAAGAGGAAGAGGAATTGTTAAGAATACACCACTAACACGCTTATATACGTTAGGTAAGGTGTCGTGTAGTGTTAAGTTCTTATTCTATTCCTACGATCGTGGCGCCGGACTCGACGGGTTTATAGTCGAGTCCCGCTTACCTAACCTAGGGGTACATTTTCTATGACAGCTTTTACCCTTAAAGATAACTACTAGTAGTAGTAGCGACTAGCTAGTTACTAAGACACACTTAATTATCATAGTCCAATAACGCAACCTAAGTTACTTCCTAAGGGCTATAGCTTTCGCTAAAGACTCTAGTACTAGCCTATTGCTACCTTAGCCCTTAAGGAGCCTATATTTATTTATATTATATCAGTTGGCTTATTACATAGCCTTAATCGTTAGGATCTTAAGAAGCTAAAAGATATGATAGATTATCTTAATATCTACACTACTAAGGCGGCTAGAATCTATACCTTTTCCTTGTATAGTAGCGTTTTAAGAGTTATAGTATAAATAGCCATTAATCGAGCATTTTCTAAGTAGCTATATATCTCCTCAAGTAGTTAAAACGCGTATCACGAATTCTTAAAGCTACATCTATAATAGCGGCAGCCCTAGGGCTTATTATATACGGATCTAGTTATGAAGATACCCTTCTTACTACTTAGATAGACGTTAATAAGCCTTAAAATACTTATACTAGCTTTCGCTGCCTTTACAACGATAATATAAGGTTATCCTATAACGCGCTATCGAATCTCGCCGAGTTTTACGGCCCGTTATGCGACCTTCACGTGCACCCTATATTTTCTTTCCTCTTACTTATTATCACACTCACTTATACACGATTATACCACTCTATTAAGAATCACTACGAATCGCCTTAGAAGCGATTACTACGATTATCACTAAATTATAGTAATCGGCCTATAACCGATTACTATAACCCCCTTATAATCGTCTAGTATATAGTTAACCTTATTTCTATAGCCTAGTCACTCTCTACATAGCTATTAATAATATAGTTAACGCTTCTATTAAAACCCTAGTTCCTTTTAATAGTAGCACCTACGACTATAACTGCCTTATTGCTTAGTTCGACATCCTAACTATCTCGCTAATATAAAACGACATTATCTCTGTCTACCCTATAGCTTAGAGTTGACCCCGACGTCACACTGAGAAAGGCCGCTCTAGATATCTTTCATTACGGTTTAAAGGTTAATTTCTATATATAAAGGCATCCTAATATCATATTATGATTTTGATGCTTTAAGCTAGTAAATTACGCAAAACCCCGCGATTAGAATGTAATGTGTTTTAGTGGATGAGGTGGCGGGAAGGTGGTTAAAAGAGGGGTGACCCGTCTTAGCCATGATTCAACTCCCGTTAGAATCATCATAAAACGTCAGTGTGCATCAACAAATGAGTCATGTTGAAGACACTCAATGGCTGGCGCCTAGACCATGGCCAACCTTTGACAGCACGGTACTCCTAAAACCAACAAACATGTACTGTCTTCATAGGGACATTGAGAACAGTAAATACCAGGTCCAGCAAAAAACACTACAGGTACGAAGTGCAGCCCAATGCGAGGAACACAACCGCTCTTATCGAGTCATCATGGAACGACATGTCTGATTTTGGGGGTGAGACTTGCCTTGGCGCACGCCACGCTCACCGATTCGGGAGGAAAGTGAGGACATTGGGGCACAAAACTCGTTACTCATGATACTCGATGTAATCAACATTCCCTTTAGTGAGGTTCTGAACGGGGTACCCTGTGCACGGCTGAGCAACTATCAATGTATCACACGACCTCACACGACCAGAGAGATACGCATGGACACACGTTCGCACACACACTGACACGAAAGAGTCACCCTTCAAGCTTTTTTTGCTCTTATAGGTACATGTTGATACCACCTCTTAGTGGATTTCCCAGAACAGGAGCAGCCACGCACTATCGCACTCCACCGCCATCATCATGTAGTTTCCAACGGGCTGCCAGTGACATCAATAAGAAACAGGAGCGCTTAGGTTCTTGAAATGATCAATTGAAGGAGCTTCCGAAACAGCCTGAAAATTCCTTATGCATATATGTCGTCTGGCTACTATTACATCATGTGTTCGCGTGTCCTTTCAAGAAACAAAGAGTGATTGATTGTATCAATTTATGAGATGAAAAGCAAGGGCCATGCGGCAAATAGTATCAATGAGCGCGTATCATACTTGGTGCAGTGTACGGACGCGCATTTCATTCCAACATGGAACTATGTCGCAGTGCGGATCGGCCGCTTGAAGCTCCCGTCTCAATATCGAAAGAACCATCCAGACCCTTTCCTTTTGAAGAGTACCACGGCGCATTTGAATTTATTCTTAGGTGCTAAATATTCGGGGTGGTATATGACAAAAAATGATATGTTCACTTTGTTTTCCACACACTGGGGGAGGCATTGAAGCTGGATTGTAGCCATGTCCTCTCCATGATTCTAAGGGAAGCTCCGCGAGACATTCAACAACAGAGACACATCTCTCACCCGTTTCAAATACTTCTCGCTTGTACATGCATCCGTGCCCTCTAGTTCAATTATGCTACCACCTTGTAAATCGCGCGCGTCTGGACCGAATGAACGTTGCCAGACCGCTTGCCTCGCATCTACAGACTATGTCATCGCTCCCTTCTTAGACCTCGCCGTGGGGTTTTTATTCTTGTAAGGCCGCCGTCGCAAAAGTCATAGTGTATGGCCACCCTACCTTCTTTGATACCACAGAAAAAAACGACACCACAGTTGAGTTCCCGGGAGACGAGCACACATCATGGGCTGGGTCCTCCACGCTTCTCCTCGGGCGGAGGCAGAGTCTCAATATCCGACAATTATCGCCATCTGTGTTGTACTGTCTATCATCTCCATAGCCGGCGTCGGCTCCAGACTATGGATTCGGTACACAGGCAGGGGTCTTGAAAAGGATGACTGGATGGCAGCATTATCCGCGGGGTTTGCCCTTACTTATGCAATCCTCTGTATCGCTCGTACGTTGGCAACACCCTCAAACCTGATGGATCGTGCTCCAATATGGGAGAAGGAACAAATTCCTACTAGCAGTCAAAACTAACCGTGCCTTACAGAAACAAGATACGGACTCGGACTTCCTATTAGTTCCCGGCCGGCGAAAAGCCTTGTGATATATACCAGGGTCAACTATGCGGGCCGTCCCGTCTACCAAGTGGGAGTCTCCTTCTTTAAGCTCGCCCTCCTCATCAGCTACCTACGGCTTTTGCAAGGCACCAACCATAAAACATATCGACGTATTGTGTACTTCGCCATTCTAACTGTGTTCGTTTCGCATCTTGCATGCGCGTTTTGCCTCATCTTTGCCTGCGATCCAGTGAGTAAACAGCATGACAGCATACTCATCAATCCATATCTTTGGAGACACTGCATTGATGTCACTGACCGTGACGCATAGGTGCAAAAGTCGTGGGAGCCGTTGATGAAGGGAGGCAGATGCTTAGCACCAGGCCCCTCATTTACAGCATATGCCTTTGTGACGATTGTCTCGGACATTGTTGTCGCTGCGCTTCCAGTCCCGATGCTTCTCGCTCTCAACATCCCCACAGAAAAGAAGATAGGGCTAGTTGGAATCTTCGCCCTGGGACTTTTTACAACGCTTTGCTCCGTCTTTCGTTATCTCCAGATCAACAGGATCCAATTTGGCGATGGCAACTCGACCATGTTGATCCTCTGGGGTGTTATTGAGTTTAATGTCGGGGTATGTTAAGAGTCACAAGATTAGGCCATTCTCTATCTCTTCTCCTGACAATATCCATCTAGAACCTCGTTTCTTCGTTACCATTTCTTGCTCCAATATTCATCAAGAAAACGAGGGGTTACCGATCGAAACAGTCCAGTGGCAACGGGTCCAGCGGCTCCTGGATGAAGTGGGGGAAGGGCTCCCGATGGGAAAGCAAGGGAGCTTACAAGCTTAGTGACAGGCGTCAGAATCAATGTGCCTTTGGGTCAGCAGACGACAGCTCTTTGAATGAACTAGGCTGCAGAAAAGTCATACACTAGGAGGACTTGCGCATCGTCGAGAAAGGAGGCCCACGTGGCATCCAAGCTACACGAAAGTGTGTGGAATTGGGAGAGATGATAGAAGTCGCGTGATCACTACTAATAAAACAGATAATGCTAATGTGGCATTCTTGTAATACTTAAATAGCTCTAGACCGTAACTTGTTTTATAGAAATTGAGATTCTCTATAACTATCTGATAAATACTTCAAACCATTCATTTATTTATTTAGTCTATCTTCTTCTAGTTATACATGATGACTGGGATTGCTCATAGAGTGGCTAACCGAGCAAATGCCCATATACTTATGATTGATAGTTACCCCATAAACTATTACTAACAGGTTGGAGGCGTTGCGTGAGCAACGAGCGTTTCCTACCCGAAGCATATGACTTCTTTTGCCACCTTATTTTTCAAAATGAGATGCAGCCAAGAGAGTCCCAGATGGACACTACTTCAGTCAGTGCATCATGAGATGATAGGATACAATGTAGTGCGTATATACTTTTTGACTGGATCTAGCCTTCTTATTTTGCTGTCGTTGGCTTTTACTTAATTCCAAGCTCCATCGACTTGGTATACACTACCGCTGACAAATGTACTATCCAGGCCGAGAAGGAACCCAATGACGTTTGCTGCCTCCTCGACGGTACCTTGCCTCTGGAAGGCCGTGGGCTCATCAAAGGGGGCGTCGCTGGGGCGTCCGCGGTGATCCCACTCTTTCTGCATCAGGGGCGTATAGATGGACCCCGGAGCAACACTGTTGATACGGACCTCACGATGACCATTTTCCTGGGCGGCAGACCTTGTGAGTCCAATGAGACCGTGCTTGCTGGCGTCGTAGGCGCAATGCCTCGCAAAACCTAGCCCCGGGGGTAAGCAGAGGACGCACATATGTTCGTTGAGCTAGCACGTACCTTTGATGCCATGTATCGAAGAGATGTTGACAATGGAGCCACCGTCGACGATGTTGCGCAGCTCGGCACGCATGCAGTACATCGTGCCGGTGAGGTTGACGGCGATAATTTTGCCCCACTCGTCGTCTTCCATGTCGGTGACGGACGTCGTTCCGTGGACCTTTCCTATAATTCCGGCAACATTGGCAGCACCGTACAGCTTTCCGTACTTGTCGACAATGAAATCAACCCATGTATCCACCTGTACCCTCTTGCTGACGTCCACCTCGGTGATCGTATATGGCACGCCCAGGGGCGCAAAGTACGCATCTGTATCGGCCATGGCCTTGGTGTCGACATCGGCTATGCACACTGTCGCCCCGCGACTCGAGAGGTACTTTGCTGTCCCGAGGCCAATCCCGCTCGCTCCACCAGTAATGGCGTATACCTTCCCCTTCAACGACATTGTTTCCAATCTTTATGTGGAGGAAGAGAGGTGGGAGAGGGGTTCAGCCAGGTAATGAGGTGAGATATTCATCGGTGTTGTCCTCCCAAACAAGAGCATACCGTCGGCCCTTTTATCTTCTCTTTAAGATCTTCCCCAATTCCTACCCCTCTATTCTCCCCTCGTGAGATCATCGGCGGAGTCTGTGTTGTGGAGTTGCAACCAAAGCAACATGGTGATGAGGGGCTAACAAGGGCACTGCACTAATGAACCGACGGCAAAATGGTAATTAATGGCGCTACTTACCCCAGAAAAAAAGGCCCGTCGCTTCCTCTTCTTTTTCCCCCGGCCGGGTGGACTACGGGGAATCATTCGGAGCGTGAGTCATTTATTAAGCATGGGACCATCATATTTCCACACCAGTCTGCAGCAATCCGTCGAGATATTCCCATTTTCACCACTATCAGATATCATGGCACGAGAAAACTGCGATGCTCCCTCTTGCCAGTTTTATGGGGTGTATGGAGATTGAAAGACTGCCATTTTCCCCACTAAAATGGTGGGTGAACCATGGTTGCGGGTTAGAGGACATAGAAGGATTACAGACTTGCCCTGGCAGATGGCCAGAACGCCGCGCGAGCTGACGGCATTTAATACAGGTCACAGACGAGGCTGTGAGAGACATCAATAAGCCGTGCCTTTCCTCCTCAATCGTACAGGGAGATATCTTTACGTGGGGGTACAATGCCACCTATATAAGAAGAGCACGTAGAGGACATTTTCTTATGGCCATTGTTGTGCGTTGACTAAACATGCAGAGGACGAGAGCCCAGTTGCCCAAGGCACTCTACCGCTTCTTCAGTTTACACATGAATCGTGCCGCGTAAGGGAGTCCGTGCAGTTGGTTATTTGTCCCACCCCAATGATTGGATGCCCCAGGGCGGGGGAGACTTCTGCATGCTGATCATCTGTGCCGTTTCTCTCGCAATTTCATGCTTCAGAGATACAGTGTCGTACGCGCGTGGGAGGCAAAGGTCTTGGCAGAGGCTCTTGGTATTAAGCATCGGATAACAGCTGACACTGTGATTATCACCTTCCAAGCCAGCAACATTTCACACAGGACGATCGACCCTACCGCGGAAACCTATACCAGCTTGGACCTAGAGGGTCTTGTTCCTTTGCGTTCCTTTTTTCTATCTACAGGTGAGTGACGGACAGGGGCTGTCAGTATTCATTAGGGGCTGGCTCTGTATTCGTAGACTACCTCTTTGACAAACTTAGCGCCTTCATTTGGTCATGTCAAAAGGACCATGGGACAACCGGCGAATGATATTGATGACATTCCAAGTTTAGAACCAAGGGACGAGACAAGGGCCTTGTTTAGCGCAGTCTGGGGAAGTGGGGAAGTGCTAATATGGAAGTCTCCACTGTACCGGCAACAACGCAGGAGGGACAAGACGCAACTTCAACTACAACGACAATGCGACAACATGTAAAATATATCGGTAGTTAGCAATAACTTTGAGTGCCCTTTCCTAATCTACATCCAGTAGAGCTCCCGTGTTGAAAGCCCTGTCTTTAGGTGGGCTTAAGGCTCGAGTGACAAGGGAGGGTGTGAAGCACTGGTACTGTTTGTCATGCGTATATGCAGACCTGTTCCACCACCCTCCATCCCGATTCTGCCCATCAGTGCCAGCTACATAATCTCTCCTGTAAAATTCGATACGGGTGATCGTAAAGAAACAAATGGTTTGATTCGGGTTCAATTCCACAATAGCCCTTAAGGGAGGCCGGCATGGCGAACAGAGTCGAGTACTGCTGACCTCATGGGATATTCCTGAGTAGACACTGAGTTTCCCTGTGGGAAATAAACGAGGATCAGACCACAACCAATCCGCACTTGCAGGGTTCATTGCAGGAGGCACACGCCTTTGCATCTATTACCCCGCTTCCCCAGACCAATGATGATGAATGGCCCTCGACGACTTGTCGCCTTTATGGCTATTGCAACACTACGTGCTGTCGTTTGGGTATACGCTCTGTGTAACTTGCCTACGTGAGTACTATGAACACTTTGCTGAATGCGCACATTTATGAAGGAAGTTCCCCCTTATACGCTGCCTCCTTCTCTCTCCTTGGGTCTATTCAGCTTGAAACATCATCTTGCTATCAACCCATCAGCTTCGTCATCTCTCTATATCCAGACAACTTATATATGGGACTCTTCCTATCACATCTCTTTATATAACTCGTTGTGAGTTATTCATAGCCATTTCTACTCTTTCCCGGCGTCTAAAGTCTAGGGGGGGAGGAGGGGGGAAGCAGACTCTCACTGACATACATACCTTGCTTCCCAGTCTTCCCATCCACTCTTTCGACATATCCCGTTATGCCGCGTCGCCTCCCGAACCATCTACCCAAGGCCAAGGCCTCGGAGATTCTCACCATGGGTGTCGCTGGTGTTGGTGTCCTGACACCCTTATACCTACTTATGCCTGGTGCCGAGGAGCGCCTGGCGGACCAGACAACAAAGTGGGCGCCGCGGTGGGAGCGAAACATTAACTTCTTTACACCGCCTGTCGAACGAAGCGTCCAACGTATTGAGCCACCCATCTCTCGTGCCGTACAACGCATCGATGGTCGTCTTCCCCTCGAGAAGATGGCCAAGAGTGTCGACTCTGGCATCCGTTCCAGCATAGCTCGCTTCAATTTTCCAAACGGTCCTGAAAAGGGAGGGCCCTCTTCCAGTGCGCCTCCTTCTTAGAGATACGTTTTGGACTATTGTTTTCCGACCGCATTCACCTTTCCTTTCGTCCGCTTTACCATTTGTCTTGTTGAAATGCTGCTGCTTTGTTTTCTTGTTTAGTGTAGAACAGTACACCTGCTGTTGCGGAAGGATGTCCCTGATGTCCCCTCTGAGAAGGAGCTATGGGAAGGAGCTATATGTATATGTACACATCTACGTAGCACAAGAGACGGAGAATCAAGACCTTTCGACCTCACTTTCGTACACTGTCGGTATTCGTGACGCTGGTCTCACCATCTCTGTGATCCCCGTCGCCGAGAGACGCTACATCTGTAATTTGTTTAACCCATGTCACTCTAGTGCACATTGGTTTATACCTTCAACATCACGAGAAATGTGTGGCAGACCCCATGCCTGTGACCGAAAGATATGACTTAGCCTTCTTCACTTACACTTCCACGAGCCCTGCTCAGTGTCTGCCGTTGTGAGGTATCCACGGGCCGCTGCCGCTGTCCGGCCCATTCGACATTTTCATTCTCCGAACTACCCTAGGCTCCGGTGGAATCAATTCACGAGAAATTGAAGGAAATATATTCGTGCATAAACTTGGAATTCTTGATTGTAAAATGTATGTACGAAACGGCCGATATTTCATTAACTAGGTGTATGATGCCTACCACTGTATTTTGTACAGCAGTATGATTTTTAGCTTATGCGGCAACAATACAACTTACGTGAAATGTATACAATAATCATTACCCCAACTACGTGTACACATATCAGATCTGTCATTGCCCGACACGGACATGGAGTCTTCTACGAGTACCACGCAATAGAGGCAGGTCCTCCTTACTGCCAATGGCACGACACCCTGGAAACATGTGGTCGAAGGTTCAACCTTTACGCCATAGGGAATTGTAACCCCTTTATTTACTAGATAATGCTTTCTTTCCTTGTTTCGTAATTTTGATCGACATGGGCGCTCTTTGTCCCAATTAGGAGTAGGCCGGTGTTTAATAAATAAACAAAACAATATACATGAACTGTCATTATTACTTACCGCTCTACGAGTACCAACGATCTTATGAAAAACGTAGTTGATAATAACCGATATAGCAATTTACAACTGGATATCACGCCATCTGGACCCAAATAGTATCCTAGTTGCCGGGGAAAGCGGAGACGGCGGATAGGGATAACTAATTCCTTGCCCCTCACACAAATGTACGAGACTGATATGGCGATGCAAGTGCATGCCAGAGTCACTTCGGCCCTTTCGCAAGCCATAAACTTGTCCAGCATCCAAGAGTAACAACCTGACAATTAGCAACACAGTCATTCTGAAATTCAGCACATAATGGCATATTCTCTTCTCCGTGGCTCAGCTTTTATTACGGGCGCCGCAGGCGGTCAGTGATTAAAGCCGATACATGTGAAAAAGCTCCCCCTTCTGATAATCGAGACTCCAGGCATCGGACAGTCTACAGCCTTCGCGTTCGCTCGTAATGGGATAACTAAGCTAGCCCTGACCGATATTAACGGATATAGCCTCCAAAAGACGAGAAAATTGATCAAATCCGAGTTCCCGAACGTACAAGTCCTGGCAAACACCATGGACGTCCGTGACAAGAAGCAAATCGTCGACACTATAGACTATATTGTCTCACATTTCGGCCGACTCGACATTGCCGTCAACAATGCCGGAATCGGAGGCTCTGGCAAGCCCACGCACGAAACGCCTGACGACGAGATCGAAAATGTTCTCGCTGTTAACCTCATGGGCGTCTACAAGTGCCAGAAAGAGGAGCTACGTACAATGCTCAATCAAGATGACCTCGGCCCACGACACGGTAGAGGCCGTATCATTAATGTCGCTTCCATGTACGGAATTGTCGCGCCCGGCCCGAGCGTCTTCTATACAGCCTATTCTACGGCCAAGCATGGTAAAACAGAACTAAGGCCCTTAAATTCATATGAACGGAAACTAAAGAGGCTGATAAGATGATTGTCTATTTTAGCCGTCATTGGACTCACGAAGAGCGACGCAAGCAGCTACGGCAAACATCAGATCCGCATTAACGCCATCTGCCCTGGCTTTGTCGAGACACCCCTTATGGAGAAAGCGAGCAGCGGGGGGGATAGCAATGACGTGTTGCAGAAAACCGTGGATAGCACTCCCATTGGGAGAATATGTATGCAGGAAGAGATCTCAGAAAGCATTGTCTCCATCGCCTCTAGTATGAACAGCTTCATGCAGGGCTCCGCTGTTGTCGTCGACGGTGGATTCACGGCTTATTGAAAATCGCAATTGAAAAACAGAACATTGAGAGGTACAGCTGCCAGTAAAAAAAATAGAAAATGGAAAAGGGGTTCGTCAGTTGAAGCTGAAAAAGTCCAAGTTTCGGTTGCGGCTGCCATCACCATGGCCGCCAACACCATCCGGCGTCCCCTCCACGCTTTGCACCAAGCCATCCATATTGACTGGACTCACACCGCTGATCTTCATATGAGTATTAGAGTCTATTATGTCGTAGGCGATATCATTCCCTCCCTTGGATACGCCAAAATTCGTAGTCAACATAGCTTCCGCTGTGTCGGCCGAATCGTGCCCAATCACCGAACCGGCGCTAAGCCCCGCAGGTCCACGGCTGTACTCGCCAGTACCCGATTCTAGTCCCTGGCTTCCTGATTGATGATCGCTGTGAAAGTTTCTATAGCTCCATACATCCGAAGATGATGGCGTCACGAGGCTCGTATGCTGCTGCTGCTGCTGTTCACTGGGGTCGGTGTCGACGGCAGACTCGTCGAGGAAACTGAAATCAATGCTCGATCCATTTGCTAGCCCTAAGGGGAAAAATGTTGAATCAAATGGTGAATGTTCATGCCGATAAATCTCCTGGCCAAAAATGCTCGTCTTCAGCGCTGAGAGCCCATTCCCTGGCGGCGTTTCTGTTGTTTGGAAGAAGGGGGGAGGCGGCCGTGCAAACTCCGAGGCTCTTCTACTGTTGCTTGATCGCATCCTCTTATAAGGGTAGCCCGAGTTCGCGTCAGAAGACTCGCGTCCGGAAGGGATGACAGGAATGGACACATCGTTGCTGTCACTCATTGATGTTGATCCAGGGACGCTATTGAAGGGAAAGACCTGGTCGCGGGCAATAATATGGGCAGCTTCACCCAGGCCAAGACGGATTTGACCCATGACAGCCCCAAGAAGGTCATTCATACGCCCGGCAGGGTGATAAGTGTAGCTCATATCAGCAAGTGCACCACTGAGTATCTCCAGGTAGCCCATATAAGTTCGGCGGTCGGCCTCATTGCAGTGGTTAGCCAGTGCGGCAATGAGGGCAATAACGGCTGTGCCCGCATGCTGGATACCGGTCACGAAGATCTTGCGACCATCAAAGCGCTGTCGGTGCTGCCAGAAGATACGAGCCACGCGGATGGCTTGTTGTGTGCAGATACTGCGAGAAAGGGAGGCCCGACTGCCGTGGACCATGGGATTCGAGCCATTCACCCTGAGGGTGTTCTCGCATTCTCCTAAACCCGGAACTTGTGTCTTCAAGGCCTCAGCGGAGGTAGATTTGTGGCTGAAATCTGGGTTGGACTGGGGGCTGTTGTTGGCACTGTCTCCAGCGATGGAGTCATACTTGGCCCATGATCTGTGGAGCAGGATCATAGTCACATGGTATTGTTGGTGGAGGAGAAAGAAGCCATACGGAGCTGTCTTGATGTTTGCTGGTCTCCAGGCCAGGTGCTCAGGCAAGCGTCGGTACCAGTTCTGGAGCATCCTGTCTAGATTGATGACGTGGAGATAGGCGTTGTCCTCGGCCTCGTTCATGGCAAACATGTTGGTACTGTCTGTTGTTGTTTTCTTGACTGATTTATGACTCCGCATTTCAACAATGCGCCCGGAAAGTTCCATAAGCTCAATGAGTTTCTCGTAGATCTCCATGTTGACATCTCTATCAAAAGTTGTTGGAAGGTCTTTGTGAGTTGTTGAGAGTCTGTCAGACACCAGTTCCAAATCGAGATCTTGGCTTTTGATACTGGTCGGCCGTCCGAGGAACAGAGCCCAGTATTTGTCATAGACGACACAGGCTTTCATGACCATCTGGCGGATATGTACCTCCTTTTCGGAAATGCCATCGTTTCTGCAATTCAGATGGAGGCCAATATCAAAGGCGAGGCGATTTGCCATTCCTGAATAGCCATTATTAGTTGGAGTAAGAAGAGTAAGTGGCTAGGGCTAGGATTCGGGTTGGCTGACCTGCATACATCCACCCGGTGTTGTCTCTACCCACACCGCACTCCAAGTCTCCGAGAAGAAGCAGGGCCTGTACACTGGGAATACCGCCAGGGCGCTCGATTTCAATGTCAACCATATACTTCGCCTCTCTGTGAAGTGTGCTCTCAAGGTTCCCCAGAGAGATGCGCCTGGTATCACCACGATTCTTGTCGCACCCACGGTAGCCCATGGCTAGGATAGCGATGTGGAGGAAAGAGCTGTAGAATTTTGGATTCCGGGAGTCACGGTCGGCCTCGAATGCACCCCTGTCTATGATGGGAATGATGCTGTTGTAGTATTCCCAGAAGTGATTCATCAAGTAGCTGTAAGTTGTCGGGTTCAGGGAGCGAATGATTCTCTCAGCCCTACGGACTTGCTCTGGAGGCTCGCGTGAGTCCAGCTGGTCCGGTGACTCAGCGTATACATGACTGTTGGCGGTTGGCCCAAAGAAACGGAGTCTTCCAGATAGTTGGTCAAATGAGAGGTTCTCCTTGGCTGAAAGCAGCCGGTGAACAATGCTCTCTTGCTTCGAGTCGAGCATGCGGAGTGGTGAATCCTCCTTGTAGGGAGGCTTGAGTATCTGGCTGCTGTCCGTCGTGGAAGCATCAATCTGATCAGTGTCGGCTTTGATAAAGCCGTTTGCGGAGTCCGGAGGCGAAGGGACCCCAAGAGATGGCGAATTGGCGTTAAGAGGCGCTACCGGCTGCGAGCTAGACTGTTGTTGACTGTTTTGTGACATCTCTAGCTGCTCGTCCGGCTTTCTCTGAGCTTCATTCTTTGTCTTTGGCGGGTGGCACGCTGGCGGTGGTATCACCCCCTTTTCCTTGAGCATTGCCTCCAAAAGCGAAATTCGATCAGACAGTGATGACATGTAGGCCTTCGAAACCGGGCTGCAGTGGCTGTTGTCAGCAAAAAATGTGCAAAGAGAATACCCGGTAGTATCAACGAGGGCAAAGGCCACTTACCGCCTGCGCTCATCGTCATTCTTGATGATGCATTCAGTGCCAGCCCGGCGGCACTGGTTACACTCTGATTGCCCTTGAGGCACAACGCAGCGAATGCGCCGATCCCGACACGAGGCACACGCAACAGAGGCACGATGGCGGACATGTTGCTTGTTAGAGATACGGGCTGCGCCAGATCTTCTATGAGAAGAGATGTTCTCCTGCATGGCAATTTCGCTGCCCTCGCTGCCCTCTCTTGTGTAATTCGTGGTAGTCATGGATGATTATGGGGTAGGCGGACTGGGCTCCAGGCCGTAGTATCCCTGAGAGAAAAATGGGACGAAGTTCTCAGCTAGGAATAATCAAAATGACTTTGAGAGGGCCTTTCAAGCTCCCGTTGGAATTGAAACAAGGCCTGGGAATGACAATAATCCAAAACGTGTCCCGTACGTACGCACAAAAACAGAGACAGGAAAACAAAACAGACTGAAGATTGCGGGGGGGACGATGATTGATTGAACGGCCCAGGTAGGAGACCTAGAGAGAACAGCCTGCGACGCGGAGCGAGCAGCTTCTTCCCCACAGAGAACAGGCATTGAATGAAGGTAACGCACTCTGGTGGATCAAGGGACTCGAGCGGGGGTCCGGAAAGCCCATTGACAGGTCGGTGTGGGGGCAAGCCAAGATGCGAGTAGGCCACCGAACCACCCAGTGGTCTGGAGATCCCATGGAGAATCGGAACTTCCTTTCCAATTAGAGGACATGGAACCGACGCTCGACCCCAGGTTTTCGCGGGGTCGGCGGGCCATAGAAGTTACCAGTCTGGTAGGAGCCTAGAGTCGAGAACACGACGACTCATTTAGTTGGGCAACCCCAGAGAATCATGACACACCTAAGATGAGGGGAATTGCCGATGTCCAATGAATGCCTGAATATATGTGAATACAAATTAGCCGTGGCCTAACTCGGTTAATTTCTCGGAGATGGGAGAAGGAGGGCGAGGAGCAACTGCATCTGGCTGGCGTGGAGAGGTGGGGAGGGGGGGGGGGCCGATGTCAACTCCAGTGGCTCTGAGCAGTGGTAATAGTCTACTCGTGCACTCTGCCTGGTATTACATCGGACTGGCGGAGTATTATCCCGATTGATTAGCAGACTATCGCCAGTCCCAATGAATTCAAAACACCCATACGTGGATCATAAAAAAGACCGCTTGCTCTACCCTCTTTTGGCTCGCTCGTTCAATCCCGCGACCATTATTCTTGAATTAGATAACTATCTCCTGTCGCCTGGATGCCGTATTGGATTCTATCTCTGCCCGACTTCTATGACAGCGCGGGAACAGAAATATGAAACAGAAAAAGACACCTTCTTTGTGCGGGTAGATTTGGTGTATCCAATCCAAAGCTTGCCGAAGTGCTTACCACCACGATCATGTAGGGGAACATTTTCCCCAGACCGGGGGGGGGATAAGGGGGGGGGAGGGCCACAATATTACCCCATAGTACCGGTGCTAATAGCTGGGGTAATGAGATGAAGACCGAAGCTAGTGGGTAGTGCCTCCACCCCCGCACGGGTTCCCTGCCGTCATCCACACTTTGAATCATTTGGTCTTTCCATGTCACAAATGGTTGTGCGTGCAATAAAAATGTCTGCAGAGACAAGGAGACCATCTTGCTCTTTCATCATATCGAAAGACTTCCTGGGCACTGGCTGGATCGACTAAAAGTGGCGCTGACTTGCATTGGGAGACAAATGGTCGTATATGCTCCCTCTCTTCACAACATAAATTGCTAATTTGAGGCTGAGCGGGATGCAAGCCGATGTGTTTGTTTGCTGACTTGACGGAGTTGAATGCCATAAATCGTACTAGCCAATGCAGGCTCGCCTACACTTGCCCAACAGTCGAGGAAGACGCGTCCTAATGCGAGTCCATTCCAGACTACGGAAGGTGTGGATCTTGCCACTAGAAGGATTCAGTAACATCACAGGAAGCAAGCAGCGCGGGTTTTCCCCGGACTTGATAATTTATCCGTCGCTCCCGCCTTGGCTTCATGCTTGCCGTTACGTAGCTCTGTTGGGACCAGACATGAATTCGTATATGGTACATGCATTATTAATGGAAATAGCGAACAATCATTCGGTCAAATTACACCACTATTCTCCATTGTATTTATCTCTTGTAAGGAAGGAAGAACTGTCTGGAAACCAAAATAAGTATGACCCTACGAGGAAGACTCAAAGGGAAATTACATTGATTTTTCCTCACTGGCTTGTTCTGCTGGCATGTACTCGTATTCGCAGTATTAATACCTCCTCTTGGACTCCCTCTCCCCTCACTTCCTCCCCATGTACTCGTACCGTACTTAGTAATAATTGTTGGGACTTGTAATTACGACGTGCATGCAACCATTTAATCCTGGAAGAAGAATAAAAATCAGCCTCGCATTCCAATTGCTCGGATGTTCGTAATGGTCCATTTTTCCATACCCTACCTCGTACCCTCTTCCACATCCCCCATGGATTTTACTCTACATCCCAGTCATAATCGCTGCTTCGAACATACGGCGAGAGCCCGTGGACATCGTTCATCTTGCTTGCCTTGACCTCGCCATTGCCCAGGTAAGCGAATCTGTTTCCGTATCGCCACCGGATATCGTAGTCTTCGAACCGGGAATCTTTGATCGACTTGAGGAAATGGACCGTCTGCATGTAGCATTGTGACACGTCAACACGAGTCTTGTTCCTTTAATGCATGACCACAGTCCCGAGCTCCACTCACTGTGTGCCCTGCGATACTCGGACATCGGTCAAGGTCCCAAGAGGGGAACGTAAATGTAACGGCACTTCTGGGTTGGGCTGGATTGGAAGGGACTGGGCTAAGTGGATGCATGTACTTACCGGACCTGGCCACAAGTAAACCCTATTCTTGATCTTGCCATCCTTGAACCAACTACGGCACTCTTCCTGAAAGACGGTGGTGCGGTGGAAGGTATCGAAGTGACTGTAAATGTCGTCGAGGGCTTCCTGCTTCACGGCAATGGAGCGGATTTTTTCGTGAATCTACTTCATCATCTTTACTGAGTATTCGACCGTCATCAAAATCGATGGTAGTAGTGTTCCTGGACTCCAGGTAGATCCAGGACCCTGTGTATCGAGGGGTTAGTGGATGCGCCAACCGTACTCAAAGAAGTATGCGACGTCATACGACAACGGTATAGTATTATGGGAAGCGAGGCGCAGAGACACCCATGTACAAGTTGACACTGTCGCCCCAATCTTCCTGGACAGTCTTTCCATCGCCATTGACGACTTTAAAGGCCGGCTTGAAGGCCCCATTGAAGTCGGTGGCGCAGGCGAGAACATCCATGTTATGGAACATCCCGTCATCACTAACGAGACCGCCGGGAACGGCCTGTTTGATGCCACCATATACGGGCTCGACATTGGGCTGGACGAGGGCTTCCAGGTAGCCGTCACCGGGAGATATACGGCGGCAGCCAGGCGACCACTTAGGAATAATAAACTCCTTGAGCTTCTCATTACCAGGGCCCATGCGGCGGTTCATCTCCTCGGTAATGACTTTTCGCAGGTGATCATTCATTTCGCTACCTTACTGGTACATTATCAAGAAACTGTTTATGTCGGCCTCGATTTCCTTGCGGAATTCAAGATGGGAACCCGGGTCCTCTCTGAATCCCTTCTTGTCTGCACCCGTGAAGGTGTACTGGCGGTTCCCAGGAGCTTCAGTGCCATCTCCTTTCTTGAGCTCGGACTCAAGGACTTGTCCGCTGAGATCCAGGTCGACGACCGCATAAACAACTTGAGATAGTTGGCCTCTTTGTGCAGTCGAGGGACAATTTGTACACTAGTACTTCCGGTACCGATAACCTGCATCGGAAAAATATGGCTAGAGGGAGGTTTTCTTCTTTTTTCTTTAACCATGAAATAGAAAAGATTTGGAAGAAAAAGAAAAGGAAATAGAGAAAGAACATCAAGTACTTACACAGTTTCCCCTCAAATTCAACAGAGTGATCCCATGCAGCCGAGTGGATTTTGGGGCCAGCAAACTCTTCAAACCCTTCAATGTCGGGCCATTTCCAGTTGTTTAGGATGCCAGTGCCGTTGATCAGGACGTGTGCCCAATCCCGCCATCTACTTTTGGTGATTTGGTCCTTGAGTGTCGGGCTCCACAGTCCCGCGTCTGATGTCGACAGTGGAATGGCGGGGATCAACGCCATCAGTATGGCGTTCCTCGATGCACCGTTTGGAGGAACCAAATGTCGGGAATTGGAAGAGAGAATGCCTTATGATTCTATGCGTATGTTCACCGAGGAGAAGACTATCTTTGTCAACATGACAAAGCTCTAATGGTAAATTTAGTACGTAGGTAGCTTGAGTGTTCACTTTTGTCATTTTTATGTTCCCATCAATGTGTGAAGGGTGCTGCAACCGATGCTACAAGATTCGGTTGTATGTAATATATGTGTCCATCCTATGCATTGTTGAATTGAGACATTTGGGGGCGGGGAACAATGCGCAGACCAACGACATCTCAAAATATCCGATTTCTCTTCCCCAGCTCAATCGCAAGAGATCTCAAGATATGAATCTGAAGACAAAAACTGACATAGCTCTGGCCATGCGGGTTAGGGACGCTGCCTCCATTGCCTATGCCGTACACGGCTGGGTGTCTTACCCGTGGCTGCGGCATCCAGGGTCCGTTTGCGCCCCGCATACCGGAACCGGGGTAAGAAGAATTGGACCCGTCCAATCGCTAGTGCAAGCCGGGAGCGAGCTTGAATGTATGTATCCTTGAGGCCAATAATACTACCTCGCTTGTTTACCCCGCATGGAGACCTCGGTCTAAACGTGAAGATGCTATGTCACTGGAATGAAGTAAGCTTGGCTTGTTTCCGAGTCAGGCATTGTAAGTCGGCTGTGATGACGACAGTATCAGTAAGACCGAATCAAGAACTGTTATCTTTTCTTGTCCATATCCTCGATACTGACTCCTTTACCTCCACGGGATCAATTGACTTGCACGGCCAAGACTATCCGGCTGCCACGATGCCTTTCGCATCACCCTATCCCCCGCTAGACTTCCCCTATGTCAACATCCTTGACTACCTCTTTGGCCAGCAGCCTGTTTCGGACGACCCACTGTGGTTTGATTGCAAGGAACCATCCCGGAACTTATCAACGGCGCAGCTTTTGCAATGGGTGAAGCGTCTAGGATACGGCCTGGAACGTCTTGGCCTCCGCCGAGGCGATGTGATCATGATATGTACACCCAACCAGATTTTCGTACCCGTGGCCTACCTGGGAATTGTAGGTTCAGGATATATCTTTAGCGGTGCTAATCCGACCTATACGGAGTCCGGTATGTTCATACGACAGACAAGGAATATGGGAAGGACTTCTACTGATATATGAAAATGATAGAGCTCGTGCATCAACTAACCGATACCACGGCTAAGGTCCTTCTCGTGCATCCGGCCATGCTATCACGGATGATTCCTGCAGCCAATAAGGCAGGTGTGCCACAAGACCGCATATTCCAATTCTCGGATGAGCCAAACCCCGTGCACAACGGGATCGTGGATTGGAGGGATATTGCCGGGAACCAGGAGCAGGGAAATTCTTGGAAATGGCCTGAGCTTGGTGCAAAGGAAGCAGCCGAGACCGTGGCCACCATCAACTACAGCTCGGGGACCACAGGGCTCCCCAAGGGCGTTTGTGTATCCCACCGTAACCTCGTCGCCAAGATTCTGCAGACAATCTTTGTGCGGTACGTCCACAAGCCGTATCCCTTCGAGAAACGGCCACAGGAGCGGTGGATCGGATTCCTGCCCCTGTACCACGCATACGGGCAACTATATACCATCCTGATGGCCATAAAGCTTAAGTTCCCTATTTACATCATGGCCGAATTTCGGTACGAGGACTTCCTCTCTGCCATTGAAAAGTACAGGATCACCACCTTACAGGTTGCGCCACCCATACTCGTCATGCTATCCAAGCGGCCTGAGACGGCGCGCTATGACCTTAGCAGTCTCAAGGAGATTCTTTGTGGGGCTGCACCTCTCTCGCGTGAGCTTCAGAATGAGTGTCAGAGCCGATTCGGTGTTCAGGTCAACCAAGGATGGGGCATGACTGAGGTTACGTGTGGTGCTCTGCATGTACCGGGGGGTATCAACGACACTTCCGGCTCTGTCGGGCTCCTGGACCCCAACTGTGAGTGCCGTCTGGTGGACGAGAGTGGGAACGATGTCGAGATTGGGAGACCTGGAGAGATGCTCATCCGAGGCCCAAACGTGTGCATGGGGTACTGGCGTAATGAAGAAGCCTCCAAGGAGAACCTGAACGTTGAGGGATGGCTGAAGACCGGCGACATTGCTATATGTGACAAGAGAGGTTACTTTTGGATTGTCGACCGGAAAAAGGTACGTTTGGTATGTATTCAAGGGAGATAATAACATGGCTAACCGCTTGTTGTTATCATGGCAGGAACTCATCAAGGTGAAAGGTCTCCAAGTTGCACCCGCCGAACTAGAGGCAGTGTTATTAGAGAATGAAGCCATTGCTGATGCTGCCGTCGTCGGCATTAATCTGTAAGTAAATCACTTTGTTTTACAGTCTGGAAGAAAAAAAAGAATCTAACTTATACAAGGGATGGAAACGAGTGGCCTCGAGCATACGTCGTCATCCAGGAAACAGCCAAGGACGCAACAACACCCAAGGGCATTCAAGAATGGATAAAAAGTCGTGTGGCCAAACACAAGCAGCTGTCTGGTGGCGTCGCCTTTGTTGACGAGGTGCCCAAGCTTGCCAGTGGCAAAATTCAACGCAAGACGATGCGGGAATGGGCCAAGAGGGATGCCACCGAGGTGAGGAAGAGTACAAGAGCTAAGCTGTAGAAAAGTGTAATATCTGCTTGCAATGATTAAAACAAGGATTCATGTCCGTCCTCAATAAATCTTTACGTGAGTTGAATATTCGTTCATCGTGAATGCACGAAATATATCTTAATAAACATGCAGTCAAACACCGTAAAGCCAGAAAGCACAAAGGCCTTGTCGTTTTTACGAACCAATAATTGTTTTCAGATGCAATGAGCCATGGAGAATGGTTCCTACACACATACACAATGCCACATGGTACTTGCATTGTTGGGGCTGAGAGTCCCGGAAGACGGCCTATCGGATGACATTAACCGCTTCCCCGCCATCCGCCATCCCCGTCTCGGGCGTCTATGCAAACCCGATATTTCTCATTCGTGTAGTCCATAGAAGGTACAGCGGAAGAGAGAAGATGTGGAGAGAAGTAAATGTATACTGAGTCATAAATGGAACACCCCAACAGGAAATATGACTCGGTTTCTTGTAGTGGAAATGCCACTCCGGCATGGGTCGTCTGCTGGTAGACGCCCGGGACGACGATACGCAGAACGTCACCTCATACGTAGATACAATATATACACTATTATATGCCTCACTGCCGTTCTAATATCTCAACCTACCTTTTTTGCAGATTCCCGATATTTGATTGAAGACAATGGTAGATTTTCTTGTTTCTGAGACGAATAGTCCCGGATCGTACGACACGCTTCGCCGCCTAGGAGGACCGATCCACTCTGAAAGGCATGTTCGCATCATATGTGTCGGTGCCGGAGCCTCGGGGCTTCTTATGGCGTACAAGTTGCAGAAGCATTTTGGCAACTTCAGCCTGGTACTCTATGAGAAGAACCCCGAGGTGGCGGGAACGTGGTACGAGAACAAGTATCCTGGGTATGTCACTTTGTTGTTGGAATAGAGGGCAAGATATTGAAAGAGAGAAGGAAAGATATGAGAAGACTGATAAAAATGCGATTGTTCTAGTTGCGCTTGCGACGTGCCATCGCACAATTATACCTGGAGCTTCGAACCCAAACTCGACTGGTCGGCTGTGTATCCTCCGTCCAAGGAAATATTCGAATATTTCGACGGCTTCGCGAACAAGTATGGACTGAAGCAATACATCAAGACTGAACATGAGATGATTGGCGCATACTGGAACAACTCCAAGGGCGGCTGGGACGTCAAGGTCCGAAATGATGCCAACGACGTGATCATCACCGATCACTGCGACATTCTCGTCAACGCCAGCGGCATCCTCAACAACTGGAAGTGGCCTGCCATCCCTGGCCTCAAAAACTACAAAGGTAAACTTCTACACACGGCCAACTGGGACGACTCCATCTCACTGGAGGGCAAGCATGTCGGCCTTATTGGAAACGGGTAAGTGTCTAAGTTGGATTGCCTCTCCTATAAGCCAGTACATGATGACTGACGCGAGAGGCGCTTTACAGGTCGTCGGGAATCCAAGTTCTCCCCGCCATTCGAGACAAGTGCCAAAAGGTGACTACCTTCATCCGCGAGCCGACATGGGTCTCTCCTGTCCAGGGAATGGAGCAGCATAACTTTAGCGATGAGGAGCTTGAAAGGTTTGCTAAAAAGTCCGGCGCCCTCACTGAGTATCGCAAAACCGTCGAAACGGGCCTCAATGGCCAATTTGGCATCTTCCTGCGCAACAACAAATTTAACCAGGATACGCACAAGTATATGATGCAGCAGATGAAGGCGAAACTCGGTAACGCCTATCTTGAGGATAAGCTCATCCCCGACTGGAGTGTCGGATGCCGAAGATTGACACCGGGTGTAAACTACCTCGAGTCTCTGACTAAGCCTAATGTTGAGGTTGTCTACGGCGAGATCAACTCCGTCACCGAGCGCGGTCCCCTCTGCAACAATGGTGAAGAGTACCCTGTCGACGTTCTTATCTGTGCGACAGGCTTTGATACCACTTTTAAGCCGCGTTTCCCCATTATCAACCCATCAGGCGAGAATCTACAAGACAAGTGGACCGAGAACGACCCGGAGTCGTACATGGGCGTTGCCGCCTCAGGCTTCCCCAACTATTTCATCTTCCTGGGCCCTAACTGCCCGATTGGAAATGGCCCCGTGTTGTGTGCCATTGAAGCCCAGGCCGACTGGATGTGTAAGCTGATTGACCGGTACCAAACGACCAATATCCAGACCTTTGCGCCCAAGCATGACGCCGTTAAAGAATTCGTTCAGTACAAGGACAAATTTATGGCGGGGACCGTCTGGGCCGATGAGTGTCGTTCGTGGTACAAAGCCCGACCTGGAGGCCCGGTCCTGGCGCTGTGGCCTGGATCGACTCTTCACTACCTCGAGATGATGCGTGACGTGCGCTTCGAAGACTTCGACTTTGCCTACTCCGGAAACAGATTTTGCTTCATGGGAAATGGATACAGCCAAACTGAGCTTGACCCCACGGCTGATCTGGGCTACTACATCCGTGAGTACGATGATGATGCACCCCTGACGACGGCCGGACGGCGTAGGTTGATCAGCAAGAGCGGGACTGTTACACAGCGAAAGGCCGTAAGCTGGAGTGGAGGAACTGGTGAAGACAAGCAGGTTCAGGCAAAGATCTGAAAGTCCTGGGGGCGGAAATCATAGACGTGTGGGGGATGAGGTTTTGCCGTTTCTATTCTTATTGACCTATGTCTGTGTCTTGTTGTTTGGTCAGTAATGCCTCAATATATATATGTGCGTAACCCTCTTATTGAGAGGAGAAGAATCAAAGAAGTATTATGTGCATGATTTCTCCTTTTCATCATTCAGGCAAGATTTTCATTCAAATCGGCGTCTATACGAGCCAAGAGAAGATACCCGAGAATATCCATGGCTTATTTGACACGGTCGTAGTAAATCTGGGCCGCCTCGTCGAACAAGGCCTTGACCCGCGATGAGTCCAGCTTCTCCTTGCGATCAAACGTATAGAGTCCGTTGGTCTCTTGCTCAATATCGGTACTGAAAGAAATTCATAAGTCAGGTTTGTAATCGAGCATAGAGAGGAGGAGTCAGTGGATTTCAAATCTTACAGTTGAGTATAAACGAAGCTGCAGCAGTAGCCGCCTGCCGTAATACCCTTGACAATCTTGGAAAGACGCTTGAGGAGATCCTCAGGGTCCGACGCCGTCGTATAGCCCCAGTTATGTCCATCACTGCTGCCAGTAGCAATGTTGACACCACCGCACTCGGTGTTCATTATAGGAGCACCCTCAATGTGTTTGGCGCCAGGGTCTTTGCCAGTAAGAGCGGGCACAAACATGTCACGACCAGCCTTGAGGCCAAGAATAGCATTGCGGTCGGCGCATGTCTTCGCGAGCTCGGGACCGTCCGTGTAATCGTGGAACGTGGTGAGGTCCGGGATGACGTGTTCCCAGCCGCAATTGTCGTTGATGCTCCTCGTAGGATCGAGAACCCTGTGTTCAGTAAGAGTGCAATTTAGCCCCGATATAAATCTTCACAGAGTCATACTAAACAAAGAAATGTACGGGGGGACAGGAGAGCCTACTTGGTCTGGTAGTAGAGCTGACGAATGTGGTTGCGTTGCTCAACATTATCCTTGAGAGAAGTGTAGGCCCAGCTCTCGTTCACAGGGGTCCAGGTGACGATGCAGGGACGATTTATGACAAGCTTGACAGCCTCCTCCCACTCCTGGTTGAAGCGCTCGACGTACTCACGGCTAAACTGGTAGGCATTGGCCATCTCGCCCCACACGAGGTAGCCCAGCTTGTCGGCCCAGTAGTAGAAGAGGGGATCTTCAACCTTTTGGTGCTTGCGGCAGCCGTTGAAGCCCATCTTCTTACCCAGCTCAACATCTAGGCGGAGGGAATTGGCGTTGGGAGGAGTCATGAAAGTGTCCTTCCAGTAGCCCTGGTCGAGGCAGAGAGCCTGAAAGTAGGGGCGGTCATTGAGGTGCCAGTTGCCGTCACCCTTTGTCCAATTTATGGAGCGCATTCCCGTTGTCGTCTTGACCTCATCGATGGCCTTGCCCGAGCTCACGTCAATGAGGCGGATCGTCAAGTCGTAGAGCTGGGGGTGCTCGGGAGACCAGAGCGCCAAGCCATCACGCCAAGCCCACTCGTCGCCAAGGGGAGCATTGCGCAACAGCGAAGCAGGGAGGCTGCTTCGCTTCTCCTCGGACAGGCGAAGCTGGAGGTCGAGGGAGGCGCTGTCGCTTTCGCGGGTGAGGTTGATCTTGTCCGTTTTAGCGACACGGACGCCCGAGAAGCTGGCTTCAATCTCGACACTCAGCTTCTGGCCAGCGCGGCGTCCAGTGATGGCAACGGTACTATACAGGATACCCGAGTAGATGTCGTTGGAGCGGATGACGGTGCCGTGGCTGCTGTCTGCAATGCGAGCGGTGGGGACTGACTCGAGCCAGACGTTCTGCCAGATGCCACCTGATGGTGTGTAGAAGATACTTTCGGGCTTGGCTCCCCAATACTGCTTTCCGCGGGGCTGCGTCAGGTCGTAGGCCGAGTCATAGACGCGGACCGTGAGGCGGTGCTCCTTGGCGTCGTTGACGGCGTCGATAGCATCGGTGACATCAATTTCAAAAGGTACATGACCTCCGCGGTGTCCACCGACGTGCTGTCCGTTCACCCAGACAATGGCCAAGTAGTCGACGGCCCCGAATCTCAGGACGATTCGGTTTCCCGCTTCCTTCTCCTCGGGAGTGCGGAGGTCGGAGATGGAGCGCTCGTACCAGAGCACCTCGTGGACGCCGCGGTCGTTGATGCCCGAGGCAGGAGCCTGGAAGACAAAGGGCACCTTGATCTGGCGCTTAACGTGGACCGCCTGACCGCTTTCTGTCGTGGACAGAACATTATTTTGAATGAGCTCCTGGGTGCCCGAGGCAATCTTCTGAGTGATACTGTTCTGCTGCGCGTCCTCCTCGGCGGCTCTGGTGGCCTCGGCCGATACCTTGACCTCATTGGGGAGGCCTTTGTGCTGCCACCTTGAAGCCAAGCCAATGTCGTCGTCGTCGAAGATAAAGTCCCATGGTCCATTGAGCGATTGCCAGTGGAGGGTGGAGCGCTGGAAATCGGGGCGGGGATACGTGTCAGTAGCAGCCATCATGCGCGGGGTGTTTGCTGATCGGAGCAAACGACGTAATTGGACCTTGTAGCAGTTGTAACTTAGCAAAAGCTAGGTTCTCAATGCAGATTTCCCTCACGCACCACTGGCTCCAAGAAGGGAGTAAATGACTATGAATATGGAAATAGTGACTGAGGAAAAGCGAAGGAAATCGGGGAGAAGGAGGAGGGGAGTAAGAAGAACCAGCCGGACAAGTAAGGAAGGAGGGGGATTCAAGGTGGGGGGGAGGCAGGTATAACGGACTAACCGACTACGTAGCACTCTCTCCTACTTGTCGCATCACCTCGTCTGACTGTATTCCGTGGAGACGCGCTGCCCTCAGAGTAAAATACCCTGCACATCACTCGAGCGTTCTCTTGCGTAGGCATCAACACTTTGTACCACGTATGTGGCCATGGACCAGCTCGTACAAACATATTATGGTTAGTATGTAATGTGTTGACGTCTGATTGAATCGGTGCCATTTGCGACAAACCCGTTAAAGAACTGTGTACATATACAGGTGTAGTGATATACACGCAACAACCCTATCCACCCTTTCCCAGGACTCCTTACAGAGATGTGACAGGCCGCAATGGTCATAATACACGTACTATTGTATATTTTCCTCCTGGGTTCCCTCAAAGCTTCTTATATGTACTACTAGCACTATAGACGTATTGGAAAATTGGTTGTTGTTTCGAGCACCTCAGTCTTCGTCTCGTTGTAGCGTCTTTGGCTCGTTTCCCAATACAACTGTTCTAGACAGTCAGTCTCAGGAAAAATAAACGTAGAAGAAGGGGGAAAGAAAGTCAAACTCACGTCGGTCGAACAAATACCAACTCGTCACGAGCAAAATGGGCATAGCAATGATACTAGACGTCCATCGTTTCGCTGCGTTCTGATACCGCTCCTTGTAAGCCTTTGCATCATCCTCCTTCTTCACCCTAGCAGCTTCCTGATCTATGCGACGAATAGGGCCGAAATGTGCTTGTCTACCCTTTGTCGCGCCATTCGCATCTCCCACCTCTGCGTTAGAGATAGAAGGCTGCTGTTCGTTGCAGGCGCCATCCAATCGTCTATTTCTCGTTAAAGATTTCGTTTCTGAAGGGATCTTGCCTGGAACACCCAGTCCGCCAGTTGATGGTTTTCGGAAAGGCACGCGCTGTGACATGGGGACATCGTCGTCAGGGTCGGTGGCGGCTGCGGCCGTCGCGCGTCGCGCTTTGGATATGGCTGTCGCTCGTAATTTATCAGCCGATGACGATGAGTAGAACCTTGGTACTCTTGTTGACCACTGCGAGCCAGCCAGCAGCCGCCGTAGGGCGTGCGTCGGGGTCATTGTAGATGTCACCGTCCCTGTGTATTTGAAAGAGGAAGATGCTAAGTCTAAGCTTGGCTACCCGATGACGTTGGAATTGACGTTCTGCCAGGGCGGTCAACATTTTTCACTAATATAGGCATTTGGGCATATTATGATCGCAACGTTTATAGGTGCAGTAATATACAAAAAGAGAACGCCACAAACAAAGAGTCCGGCAATCTATAATACTGCTTTTTTTCTCTGCCCTAGCCTTACTATTTTGCTGTTGTACATTATTGCACTATTTGGATAAGTGCTGCCTTAAATGCGAGAGAAAATGAAACTAAAACTACAAAAACGCCCACCCACTGCTGCAGACTCTGCCCCCATAAACCAAAGGCTCCTTCACTTGAGCCTCAGTCATCATCTGTGTAGCTGGGTCCACTGCCCGCCGGCGTCTCGGCTGTCCCAAAGGCTCCCGGTGTAGGAGCACCGTAGTAAGCGCTGGCGCCGGGCGTAGGGGCACTAGCCCCCGGCGTAGGCGCCACATCGGCACCCCATCCTCCCTGCCAGCCTCCTGCCGGTGTAGGCGCCGACACACCGGGTGTGGGCGCGGCAAAGGCGCCGGGCGTGGGTGCATTCATGGCACCATTAGGGGGACCAAGTCCAGCGCCAGGCGTGGGAGCATCAAAGGCACTTGTTGTGGCTCCGGGAGTGTAACCCCATCCATCACCAGCACCGGCACCGGGCGTCGGAGCTGAAGAAGCGCCCCAGGCAGGCGTTTTGGATCCTGAAGCCCAGTTGTCGCCACTGGAGTAGGCAGGCGTACGCGATCCCGCGCCGAATGTATCACCCGCAGCCGGGGTCCTGGCGCCGGATTGCCACGCCGGGGTACGAGACCCAGAGCCGTAGGCAGTGCGGCTACCGTCGTAAGGGTTGACGGTACGCGAGCCGTCAGCCCACGCCGGTGTCCTCGAGCCCGAGTAGTCTTGCTTCCAGGCGGGAGTGCGACCGCTCGAAGCGGCAGGTGCTAAAAAAAGGAAACGACATTTAGCATTGTATACATGCGTGAAGTTGACAAGGGATAAGAGGGGAAACTCACTTCGGGAACCCCAAGCCGGCACGCGGTCCGATCCTCCAGAGCCCATGGGCGTTCGGGACCCAGACTGCCAACTGGGCACGCGGTCTCCGGAAGCACTACCGCGGGGAGGGCCGCCAGGGCCACGCCTGCCGTTTAACTCAATAGTTGCACCAGTCTTCTTGTCCTTGTAGTTGAGGAAATCCTTGGCGACGGTAATTGTCTTGCTCTTTGTGTGAAGCTCGACACGGGCGTGTGTGTCGGTTGTATCTTTGACAATACCCAACAGGCCTTTGTAGGCACCCTTCTTGATGATGACAGTTTGGTCGATGGCACGGTCCTTGCCGAAGCTCTTAGGTGGCTGTACCGGCTTGTTTTCGGCGCCGTTCTTATGAATTTTGAGCGCTGGGTTCATCGAGTCGAGGTCCGGTCCAGATGAGGCCGCATTGACACGCCCGCCCTTGGCCGCCACTGTGTTGACGACACTAGCCTTGGTAATAAAGACACCGGAATTCTCCGTTGTGTCGTTGGTGTGTAGGAAGACGTACGATCGGTGGATGTGAATGATTTTACCCTGACGCTGGAGGCCTGTTGCCTCCTTAACCACGTCGTCGATACGGATCTCGGACCCACTGCGGTCGGCGGCCACAGCCAACTTCCTCTTGGGAAGCTTGTTGGAGATTTGTGACGGCATCAGCTGGCGCGTGTCGCCGTGCTGGTCTAGGACCACAAGTGACTCGCGGTCCACTTTAACGACGCAACCCACCGTCGTCGGGTCGAGCTGGACTAGGTCATGGAGCTCGTATTGACCTAGAGAGCCCTGGCCACCCATGTCGCTCGCCTCACGCAGGTCCTTGCTGAAGACGGTCACCTCGGTGTTGGTTTGGTCCGTCAGGAGCGTGACACGATCCTCGGAGATCTTGACCACGGTACCAACCTCGTTGCGGAACTTGCTGCCACCAATCACCTTGACATGGTCTCCGACGCTGAATCGCTTGCGAAGGCCCTTGGTAGGTACCTCGATGGTCTGTCCAACCAGGTCACCCTCGGTGACCGACATAGTGACAATATCGCCCTGGACGTTGATGGCCTTTCCAACAACGCCCTTTTGCTCGCCCGAGTACACCTCAATAGCATCGCCTGCCAGGTAGGTCGTGAGCTTGCCACTGTCCTTGAGACTGGCCGCCAACGCCTTGAGGTCGAGGTTCTCGGTGCCGTCCTCGGCACCAGAAGCAAACCGCGTAACCTCTTCGAGCGATGGGTTAACATCGGTCACTGTGAGCTGTTGGATCTTGATGTCCTTGACCTGGAATCCGTTCTCGAACTCGTCACCCATGTACGTCCACGTGTTAGTTGTGGGATTTCCCTGGATGAAGCGAGGGTGGCGTCTGCGGGCCTCGGTTTCGTTGAACAGCCTCTGTGGCGGGCGCGGGCCGGGCACACCGGGCTTTCTCTTGCCGGCAGCTCCAAGGGACTCATCGCGCATGCCGTAGTCTAGACGAGGAATGAACCTGACTCTGGCCTCGAGACCATTCTCAGTCACATCGATAACCTGGGCAACGTCACCGTTGTGCTTGGGAGGGCGGCGGAGACGAACCCAGGCTCCAGGCTCCAGAGTAGGCGTCTTGACGACGCGGAGAAGCTCGGGCATATCCTTGATGTCAACCAGAACCATCTTGGAACGAGGGTATACGTTGAGCATGTTGTCCAGTGCCTTGATGACATCGGTCGAGCGCTGGGCCTCGACGTAGATAAGACCCTTCATGACGGACTGAGCACCGCCGCGCTCAAAGGCAGCAGTTATGGCAACCTCCTCCTTGGTGCCAGCACTCTCCTCAATTCGCTTCATTATAGAGAAGACAACCTCGCGCTCCTTTCCCTCCTTGCACCTGACGGCCCAGATACTAGGGTCATCAACGCTAGGCAGCAATAGGCGCTTGGGGACAACAGCCGAATCGCCAAAGCCCTTGGCGGAGCGGCGATTTCCGTAGCGCTGGCGCAGGATCTCAGCCTGTTTCTCGGCATCCATGCTCGACTCCATCTCCCTGCGGCGATCAAGCTCACGATGTCTTCGGTCGTCATCCAGGGCGGCACTCTCGCCAACGTCATCGGGGTGAGCGTTGTCGATGAAGTCTTCTATCTCTTCACCTTCCTTTTCGTCATCCTCGCCTTCGTCCTCATCGTCGACCTCGGCTTCGATATCGATGAAAGCGTTGCGCCTGTTTCTGCGTCGTTTACGGCGATGATTCTAATAGAGCAAGAGAGTACTGTGTTAGTCGCAAGTCCTTTTCGTCCCCTTATAACGCCCGTACGGGCACGTCCATTTCATCACACAGGTGGAGAGGAGCGATGTTTTCTGGACACATACCTGTTGGACATCTTCATCTTCCTCGTCATCCTCATCATCCTCATCGTCTTCGCCGTCGCCCTCTTCTTCATCATCCTCCTCTTCATCATCGTCGGCGGGGCGCGATTTGGACCTGGGAGCGTCGTCATCGTCATCATCATCATCGCCATCAGGGCTTCTGGCCCTCTTCTCGCCTCTCTTCTCCTCCTCGCCATCATCGCCACCGCGCTCCTCGTCGGACATGTCGGCCGGTGCAGGGTTGAAGTCCTCCTCGTCCTCGGAGTCGTCAAATCGCGAGGGATCGTTTGACGCCATGACGACAGTGGGTTCACGCGCTGCTGGAGTAGCAAGACACGTGTATGGTTACTGGACGTGTATTTGTATGAGCTAAAAACGCGATTTGATGGGAACACAGAGGCGATGGACGTGTCCGTCTTATGGTAAGTATATGGAACAAAGGAAGGACAGCCAAATAATATTATTGGGAGCTTTGTCCTTGTCGTAACGGTTAAATATCGGTCGATGCAGTTAGCAGTATTTGCTAACTTTGTATGTCCATTTGATGACTAACATTACTACTAGTCAGTTTTATAGGTATCAAGTCAACGCACCCACTTTAAGAACACCCCCCCTTTTTAGAACACCTCAATAGGCTATTACTATCATGGGAAACGCAAATAACATAACAATGATAATAATAATTGTTATACTTTTTCCTAGTCTTTAGGGTTGACCTAAAAAAAGCAGAGATATCCTTAGTTATTAGATTTATTAAGGACAATATTAGATCTCGTAGCTAAAGAGCGTGATCTAATATATATAAGACCTCTCTTAAGAATGCGTTTATATATTTTAGGGGATTAACTATTTTAACTAGGGATTTAACTATTTAGATATTAATACGTTAATAGCGTATATAAGAATATACTACTAATACGCTTATATATATTAAAAGGTAGGTAAGGTATTATATAATATTAAGTTCTTAATTTATTATATTTAGAGCGATAGACTTAACTATTTTAAAGTCGAGTCCCGCTTACGTAAACTAAGTGTATATTTTCTATAATAATAATATGTTATAGGTATTTCCCTAAGGACAGCGTAGTGCCGCCGCCACCCCGACGATATATAGTAGCGACTAAGTGTCTATACTACTACTATAACGGCATAATCACTATCACTAGCGACACCTATATATAACTATACGCTTACTATTAGATATCTCTAAATTACTTCTTTCTTTTCCGCCTTAATATAAAATATATTTATATAAGGCTACCTATTTGCTCTATCTGGCCTAGTTATGACGTTAGGGTTCAACTCTAAGCTATAGGTGGACAGAGATAATGTCGTTTTATATTAGCGAGATATTTAGGATATTAAACCAAGCAATAAGGTAGCTATAGCCATAGGTACTACTATTAAAAGGAACTAGGGTTTTAATAGAAGTGTTAACTAGGTTATTAATAATGTGACGGTTAGTACGACTCTATGCTATAGGGTAGTCAGAGAAGTGTCGGTTTTATGTTAGCGAGGCCGTTAGGATGTCGTTCTAAGAAATAGTGTAGTTATAGTCGTAGGTGCTAGTATTAGGAACTAGTTTAATAGAAGCGTTAACTATTATATTAATAGCTAGGGTAGAAGGAGTGTTCTAGCTAGAGAATTGAGTTAACTATATACTGGGCGATTATTGTAAGAGCGAGGTAATCTCATAGGTGATTATAGTAATCGCTAAGCGATTAAGGTAATCGTTAGGTGTGATCGCTAAAGCAGTTAGGCGATCGCGCTATTAATAATATCGTGTATAAGTGTCTATTACTAATGATAAGTAAGAAAATGTGGGCTACACGTGAGGGTCGCATGACGGGCCGTAACGTACAGTAGACGTATAGGTAAATCGAGTTAGACGAAGTGCGGGAAACATTAAGCTCTATCTCTTAGACGTATTTACACAAACTACGCGCCAGGCACGGAAGACCGTGTCGTATGCCGCTTATTGGTGCGGTATTTTTTTAATCGGTAATCCGGAAAATGCAAGAATTAGGAGGTGTATTGCAAGAACAACTAATGGCATGTTCTCAAGATAAAGAGTACTTGTGAGATAGAAGTTAGAGTACATTTTCCCTCTCAAGGTGAGGCGGATCATATGCACGTGACCTGAATTTGGAGGAATCAGAAAGCTGCCCCCGTGGCAGCGTCACGTATTCCATATAACTCATGGACGATCAGCCACGTGATTACAAAGGTTAGGGGGCTGGTGGGTGTGTAACGGGGCCAATGGCTGGTAATATCTCTAGGGTCACCTGGGCTATTACTTGGTTGCTTGGGACAGCATATTTGATCTACCACTGGCTACTATAAATAATACATATTATGAAGTAGGAATTAATTCGGGGCATGTGGGTGCATTCATGGGGGATTCAAGATCATGGCTCATGGTGCAAGGATGGCTGGATGACTGGTGATGGTTGTGTGTGGTGACTATGGTGTGATAACGAGTTGATAGTTGGATAATGGGTGGTTCCTGATCGCGTGGACTGGTTGCGAGTGCCACATACGTGCGTGTGAATAAAGTCTATATTCTCAATGAAACCTGGTAGGCGCGACTGGGAGCGTTTTGCTACTTGCTCCTGCTGATCCCTTCGAAAGCCCGCCTCAAGCGGGTGCCTCCCTCCTTGGTGCCTCCCTCCCTGGTACCTTCCACGACATGCCGTAGGCCACTGCCAGCCGCCTGTGTTTGTCTGGCACTACTGCGCTGTTATTAGTACGGAACACGAGTACTACTCTCCATTCTATGAATACCACGCAATGTTTCCTTTGTTAACGCACCCAGATCTTCCCGTAATCATCGCATCGTCGTCGACGTTTTCTGTGGGAACAACAGACGCAGAGTCACGAAAAGAAGGAGAACCTTACACACACAAAGCGGAGAGGGAGGGAATGCCTTTTACATGGGCAGTAGAAACAGCAGCTCTGGTCCGCGCCACAACGGGAACTGCCATCTACTAACCACATATCACGGCTGTGTGCATCCTTGATGCTAGACAAAGACGCACTCGTCCTCATCTCGGCCAAACTGAATCCGTTAAAGGAATCAGGCCCTGAGCCTCACAGCGACCACAAGGCGAACACGAGCGCCCACCCACATTGGGACGTCCAAGCCGAAGCCATGGACCAATCACAGCACTTCTCTTCCCCGCGACACCAAGGCGCCCATGTCCACGCCTCTGCCTCTGTCTCCTCCGCTCCAGCTCTCGCTGCCCGGGCCTCAAGACACTTCCACGACGAGCTGCACATGGCTGGCCTGAGCCCGCAGCGCCAGCACATCTCCTTTCACGAATATACGCCCCAAATCAAGCTTGACTACCCGACGACTGCCATTGTTTCGGGTCAACCCCAACCTCAGCCCCACCAGCAACAGCAGCAGTCATACGCCTCAGTCCCCGGCGTCCTGCAGCCCGGTGGTCTGGTTGTGAGGCCCCCAGCTGTGTCTGCATCCACCGCGCCGGCGATTTCCACCGTCCAGAGCTCTTTATCGTCATCTCAGGATCTGGTACAGTCCCCTTCCCAGCTACCTCCCCAACAGCTGCAGCATCCCCATCAACGGCCGCAGAGCTCGTCCAGGTCATCCTTCACCATGTCGCACGCCTACTCGCGCTCCAGCCCCTCTAGCGGCTATGATGCCTCCGGCGGCTACAATGCCTACCATCCCACAACCCCTGGCGGCAGCTCCTCGTCGGCCTCGCAGTTCATGTCCCCTAGCGACATACCCAAGTACTCTCAGCCCGGTTCCCAGAGGCACTTCTCAAACACACCTCTGGGTCTGGCTGACATCAGGCCCCGCGCAGACTCCAACAGGTCGGAAAGCGGTCCCGGCACCATGAGCATCGACCTCTCCAACACACAGCCCGGCACCAGCAACTACATGGCTCCCTGGCCCATCTATGCCTTTGACTGGTGCAAATGGCGGCCACAGGCTAATGGCGCCGGCAAGGTTGCCGTCGGCAGCTATCTCGAGGATGGCCACAACTTTGTCAGTTCCCTTCCATTTCGTGTTTGATGCGGCACATGTCCCCCAGCCCCCTCTTTATTCCACCTTGCCATGTCAGTTAACCATTAAATCATACAGATCCAAATCCTTGACAGCCACGCCACAACGACCCCACAGGATGTCTATACCCCTGGTTCTTCCAAGTACACGCTCGAGTTCTCCAAGGTTGCCGAGGCTACCCACTCCTATCCCGTCACGCGGCTCCTTTGGGAGCCGCCATCCTCGCAGAAGCAGTCAACAGACCTGTTGGCCACATCTGGCGACCACCTTAGGCTGTGGTCTTTACCATCCGATGCTACACCCACTCCGGGCAGCACCATCACCAGGCGTGGAATTGAGGGACCCGGAGCTAAGCTAACACCGTTAGCTCTCCTATCCAACTCCAAGACTCCCGATCATACGGCACCTCTGACGTCGCTGGACTGGAACACCATGAACCCCGCTCTCATCATTACCTCGAGCATCGACACTACTTGCACCATCTGGGACATTCCCTCCCTGACGGCTAAGACGCAGCTTATTGCGCACGATAAGGAGGTGTACGACGTACGTTTCTGTGCTAATACAGTTGACGTATTTGTGAGCTGCGGCCAGGATGGTAGTGTCCGCATGTTTGACTTGAGGAGCTTAGAGCACTCGACCATTATATACGAGCCGACGGGCAAGGATGACAAGGGTTAGTGTTTGCAGTAATTTGTAATGATTGCTCCTTCCTTTCAACTTTAATTACTAACTGATAGTTCATCTAGACACAACAGCACGTGTAAGCCCTTCTGGCTCCCAGCACTCGAGTGCCGGCAGCCCACCACCCCTGCTACGCCTAGCCACATCTCCACATGATACGCATCTCTTGGCGACGTTTGCTCAGGATTCCGGTGCGATCCGTATCTTGGATGCACGCCAGCCTGGTCAAGCTCTGCTTGAGCTGCGTGGTCACACGGGCAATGTCAACTGTCTAGATTGGTCGCCACTCCGGAGGGGCCTCCTAGCTACCGGTGGTGATGATTGTCAGGTACTCCTGTGGGATCTCATGAACGCCAACTCGTCGTCATCTATCAACGGTGCGCCTCAGCCGGAGGGTGGGCGCAGCCCAGTAGCAAGCTGGGCTTCCGACTATGAGGTTGCCAACTTGGCCTGGGCGCCTCATCTCCAAAGTGGCGAATATGGTGAATGGCTTGGAGTCACTGGGGGGCGTGGCGTCTGGGGGACAAGGGTATCGTGAGACGCGAAAAGCCAAAGGTAGAGGGCTATGCAGCACCGTACGACATGAACGCGCACGCTGATGGGGCCACTATCACTAGCATTTTTCTTGTTTTTGTTTTTTATCTCATGTATGGAAAGGCCCTAGAAGTCTTCTTTTCCTTTTTCGTCCTATATGGGACGTCTGACGAAGTCAGCATGGCGAGTGTTTGAAATTTCGCGAGGTTGCCCGTCGCCACAGGACTCGCGAGGCAAATATGTTAAAGCATATAAATGGCCTGTGGCATAGGAGAGAAGGAGAGAACATAATCGCAATGGATGATGGTTCTATGTATTTGGAAGAAGCAAGGGGGGGAAGAGGTCACCAAGTGTCTTTGAACACTGGAGGGGAGATTATATGGGGCTGGCAGGAGGCTGGGCATATACGGACTGACCGCCAGTTGAAAGGTGACATGGGCGTCATTTCAGAATTACAAAACTAAAAGAGAGGAGCGGAAAAGAAAATCACTTGTTTTCGGTTGTACTGAGATTGTACTGAGATTGTATTGTGTTTTATTTTTGAGGCCTTGGTCCTGAATCACCTATACTCTTATCACCTATCTCAATTGTAGCCTTGGCCAAGACCTTCCAATGTGGCAAAGCTTACAAGGCTTGAGAAATACGATAGAGTCCTTCTAGCAAGTAGAGATGGCCAGCTTGATACTGCCATATCCATGAGGGCATCTAGTTCTCACCATATCTCAGCTGCCTCGTGGGGATCCACACATATTTGGTCAGTAGTGATCAGTGATGCACTGATATATTCAATGAGTAAGTAGCCTGCTTCAGAAGAATCCTGTTCATCGTGACTTTCTCCATATCGCCTTCTTAGGCAACGAATCCGACAACCAGAATTCTGCCCCTTTTAGCGATACACTTGAGGCTCAAATCGGCAAGACCAATAGGGTTAAATACAATGTGGACGCCCTGACCATATGTAACATACTCCTTCTTCCACTAGTCCCCAGACCGGGAATAGTTAAAATCATTCGTATGCGCCGTGGCTCTTTGCATAGTCACATTTGGCTTCTGATTCAGCTGTGCCAATGGCGCAGCATCCTATCCTATTGTGATGACAATCTACACGGCCATGATGCCCAGTGCTCCGGCGGCAGTGTATCAGTGCCCCGTACGACACGGCCCACAGACCGGCTGTGTCAACGACTCTCCATGAAGGCGGTACTTTTCCAAGCACCGATGCAGCAATAGATACGGGTAAGCTGATAAATCCTCTATAGCAGCCCAAATGGTGACCAAATACACAGTCTCCGCAACTGAAGGAGGATGAAGACGGCGCTGAGAAGACCAAATGTCTGATCAGCTTCGGCTTTTTTATTAAGATTCGAGACACTAAGAGGTACAACAGTAGTTATGCAATAAGTGGAGAGAAACCTCGTACTGTCTAGGGTCGAACTTAAACCAATATAATATTTTTTTCTCACCGCTTTTAAATCCTTTGCTATAATTTTAATAATAATACTCACAACGAGGACTTTAATGTTAGAGGTTATTAGTGTAACGTTATATTGATAATATATATATCGTGATTATTATACTTTTTCGCCGTTATAGTGGTCAGGAAAGCAGAGCTATCCTATAGTTGCCACACCCTTATGCTACAACACCTATAGATGTGGGGAGTACTCTATGGAACCGTGGCGCCATGCCACACGCTACTAGGCATTTAGCATACCTATAGAAAAATTACAAATAACCTTATAATTATATTCTAGCACCTTAAGGAGATATTACTATAATAGAGAAAGAGGAGAGAAATATACAAAGAAAGAAATCCCTTTCTAGAGAATAAAAGGAAGTGAGATTTAGCCTTGAAAATAAATACACTCTATATTAAATGCCTGCCTTACTTCCTTATTATAAACCTATAAGAAACCTATAATAATTGTGTTTTAAAAGGGATAGTGTCACGGCCTGTCTAATATACGGCCTGATATGCGACCTCGGTCATGTGTTATAAGTAACCCCACTTCTTTTTCTTTCTAGCCACTAGGAATGTGCTATACGGATTATAGTAATCCCTTACGTAGATCACGACGCTCTATGCTAGGGCTTACCACGATCCTAATACTAATATTATTATACTTTTTCTTAGTCTTTAGTGGTAACCTAAAAAAGTAGAGATATCCTAAGTTATTAGATTCGATAAGGATAGCATTAGATCTTATAGCTAAAGAGCGTGATCTAATATATATAAGACTTCTCTTAAGAAGCGTTTATTATTATTAGAGAATTAACCGTTTATATATAGGCAAGCGTAGTAGCGTATATAAGAATATACTACTAATACGCTTATATATATTATAAGGTAGGTAAGGTGTTATATAGTATTAAGTTCTTAATTTATTATCTTTAGAGCGATAGACTTAGCTATTTTATAGTCGAGTCCTACTTACCTAAACTATATATATATTTTCTATAATAAATATCCTAGTATATAGTCATCCTAATCCTCTAGTTAGAACACTCTTTTACCCTACTATCAATAATATAGTAATATAGTTGACGCTTCTATTTACACTAGTTCCTAAATATTAATCACCTATAACTATAACTGCCTCATTGCTTAGTTATTACGACCCGTTATGCGGCCCTCACGTGCACCCCACTTTTTTAACGTAACCACACTATTAACGTCTACACTAACTAAGGAGAGTATTACGACTAGGTTCACTCTCCGAATAGTAAACTATTAATAAACTAAGCTTTAGTTTAATATAGGTTTACTTATAATATAGTGAACTTCTCTAGTATATAGTTAACCTTATTTCTATAGCTTAATTACTCTCTACCTAGCTATTAATAATATAGTTAACGCTTCTTCTAAAACCTTAGTTCCTTTTAGTAGTAGTACCTATAACTATAACTGCCTATTACTTAGTACGATATCCTAACTATCTCGCTAATATAAAACGACATTATCTCTACCTACCCTATAGTTTAGAGTTAACCCTAACGTTATATTAATCCCCTAAAATAAATAAATCTATTCTTAAGAGAAGTCTTATATATATTAGATCACGCTCTTTAGTTACGAGATCTAATACCGCCCTTATCGAATCTAATAAAGGATATCTCTGCTTTTTTAGGTCACCCTTAAAGACTAGGAAAAAGTATAACATATACTATCTAGATTGCTAAAAAAGAGCTTAATAATCTATTATTTAGTATTAAAATTAAAGTATCGATTCTTAATAATCCTAGTAGATAGTAAGAAAAGTGGGCTAGACTAGAGGCTTTTAAATAGGAACTTTATATAGCCGTCGCTCGAGAGGTATATAATTTCTTAGCAAACTATACCTGTTCGAGGGCGCTCAAACCTGTCGCCTCTAGCGTGTGACGTTAGGGTCAACTCTAGGCTATAGGGTAGATAGAGTTAATATCGTTTTATATTAGCGAGATAGTTAGGATATCGTACTGAGTAATAGGCAGTTATAGTCGTAGGTGCTACTACTAAAAGGAACTAGGGTTTTAAAAGAAGCGTTAATTATATTATTAATAGCTAGGTAAAGAGTGACTAGACTATAGAAAATAAGGTTAACTATATACTAGGCGATTGTAGAGTAGTTATATTAATCGGTTATAGCGATTAATGCGATTTAATAGAAATCGTAGTAATCGCCCTTAAGGTAATTCGTAGTGATTCTTACTAAATCGGTATAATCGCGTGTAAGTGAGTGTGTTGATGAGTAAGGAAAAAATGTAGGGCGCACGTGAAGGTCGCATAACGGGCCGTAACATAGCGCCTAGAAAGGGTCCCTAGGCAGCGTTATACACCTACGTTGGGATTTCCACACGTAAGAAAATGTAAACCACTCGGTGGGCTTCGTAGGTTTCCTTTTCTAAACAGTCCCACTACTCTATATCCACGGCCTGCTCACAACCGCGTCTCCATTTGGCGAGCACATATGAGTAGTCAATAGTGGTCCTCCAACTCAAATCAGAAGCTCCCAACAATGACGTCGTCGCTGCCCCAGACCGACCGCACGCGACAACGCTCGTCAGCCTGGTTTACCCAGCAACATTCAACCGAACACGACATGCACGAACTCAATCCTTGGCCCGACAATAATGATAACGACAGCGAGACTCGCCTCCCCTTTGAAAGGCGGCCCACCTTGCATTTAAGCAAGTCATCCAAGCCTCCACCACTGCTGCCTCGATCGCCTTCCTTAGATGCCAGACTAGCCAAGTCTGGGGAACCCAACGGCTTGTATGGCTCGCCTCCTCGCTCACGAACCAGACCGCTGTTTGCCGGGCCACCTCCACCCATTACGTCCTCGGTCATGATGCCCAAGACTTCCACTGCAGACAGGCAACATTTGGCTGATCGAGATAACACTGGAGGGCAATATAAGACTAGGCAAGAAAGCATTCGGAGTCTATTGTTTGACCACGAACAAGATGCACGAGTACGAAGCCAACCCGACTCGATATGGCGTGGGATACGCAGGCGGGAAAAGGCGCTGGAGAAGGAAGCCCAGGAGCTGCTGGACCTGCAAGCTAATGGGCTCATTGCCGGCAGCCCAGGCGTTGCCACGCCCGAGACAAACCTGGATGAACACAGCGATACGGGTAATAGCACACCTACGGGAACTTTTTACTCCAGTGCCACGTCAAAATCACGAATGGTCAACTCACTTCATATGCCGGCACGATCAACACCTGAAGGCAATGTCATACCCGTACGGCAGCCTAAATCATCTCGGCCCCAGGGCCTACGCTCAGCGCGGACAGGTCTGCGGAGGACCATGTCGGCTCTCGCACAGCTCAAGGTTGAAGAAAGCACCCGCATCGAGGATGCCCTTACGGAGCGCAGGAGAGCCCTGAACCAGGTTAATAAGCTGATTTTGCGGCGAGAAAGCGTGTCAGCCGAGCTACGCATCCTGGAGGAGGACGAGGAGGAGCCACTCGGGCAAGAAATGCGTGATCTCGGTGCCAAATACGACTCGGTGACCCAGGAGATACGCAAGCTAGAAGAAAAACTAGTTGGGATGCGAAACCAGCGCCGATGGCTGCGAGGCCGGATGGAAGACGTCAAGAACAGGCGAGAAGCTGGTCTGAGCGGATATCGCGGGGCACTAAACGATGTCGACTCAGAGGTCACGGCCATTGTGACTCGGCCGCCTGTACAGCCGCTGGATCTCGAGGTCATGGGTCAAGAGGCCCGCAGCGTGGCTGCATCAGCTGGCGGGATGGAGTTCTTGCAGATGATACCAGAACGACGTACAGTCGAGATGGCTAAGGCCTGGTGGGAGAGCGAGATTATGGTGCTGGAACGGCAAAGATCACAGGCCGATGCAGACCGCCAGGCGTTGGAGGATGGCGGCGCCGTATGGGCAGAGGTGACGCAGCTCGTATCAGACTACGAATCTCGGCTGCGACAGCTAATGAAAGTCGAACAATCTCCTGACAAAGGCAAAGGTAAAGAGAAGACGCCATCACAAGAAGTAATACGCCAACAGCTGCCGGAGATGCACAAAATTATCAAGAGCCTGGAGCAACATCAGCAGGTTGTCCAGGAGAGGGGCTGGAACCTGTTGATATGCGCTATCGGGGCGGAGCTCGAGGCGTTTACCAAGGCGCAGGAGATGCTTGAGGGTCTCCTCACAAACGAGTACGGTGGCCTAAAGGATGCTGAACAAACAAACGGAGAAGGGGCTGGTGATGGGAACAGGGACAGTCACGATGAGAGCAGCGACAATGAAGTGCCGGCTGATTTACTTGTGTCACGAGCAGCCGATAATGTGGGCAGCACAGCACTGTCTGTGGCGAGTCCCCAAACTGGGCTTGAGCTGAAGAGGACAGAGAGCGCGGATGATGTGCCGGTCGAATTTTTGGCCGAGCACAGAGAGAAGATGGACTAATGGGACTCATGGACTTGCTGGGGGTTTGCACATTTTGTGATACCGGAAATTCTAGGACAGATTGGCGATGCGTACAGGCGAATATACTGAACACTAGCGATCATTTTCAAATGAATGATAGGAACGGAGAGACACACAGGATGTGACATGACTTGGTACGTACTGAACGCCTGAAGCAAAAGATGTAGACTTGGACACATAAAAAGAACCCAGACCTAAGGTGCAAAACAAGAAAAATGTTGTCAAAAAAGATGGAGCTGAGTGCTGAACCTTAGCCTCATGGGAGCGAGTTAAGGGGGGTGAGAAAACAGAAATAAAAGCAAGTCCCGGATAGACTGGGGGGTAGGTATGACATGGAACCAGACGGGGACCGGTTTTTTATCGAGTTCGCTCAAAGAAGCTGCTGGAGCCAGCAATAGCGACGGACTGATCCATGACCCATTCACCAACGCCGAGGTACTTGTCAATCCACCCGTTGACTTCCTTGTTGTCTCCGGAGACCTTCTCCGTCTTGACACTATGGGGGTGTCAGATATGCGATTCGTTCGAGCAATGTGCTGTTGGTTTTGGTCCGACGAGACAAAAGGGAGGGAACTCACGTCAACCCGGTCGAGCGCTTCATTCCAGCGAGGAAAGCCGAGACTATTGAATCAGTTAGAAAATGTTTGGATTTGGATCCAGACAGGGGACGAGGAACGTTGGTAGAGCGTACAGAGAACGGCGTCAAAGGCGTAATGGGTTAAGCGTCCAACCTTTGACCACAGGCCCAGAGTCAGCAGGTCGAGGAGCTGCGAGGATGAGAAAAACCTTAGAGAATAGCCAAGAGGCGAGGGGAGATTTGCGTGTGTTCAAACGACTAAGCAACCAAGCATCATCGCGTCATGACGTCGCTTTGCAATGTCTCAAGAGGCTGGCTGAACTGGACGTACCACCATATTTACAAAAGACAGCGTATTCGACGCTTTGTTCGTATGTATATATTGTATTAATCAAGGATGAAGGTTCGACTTGCGTGTGGTATCCGGTGTCGGAATCAGGGTCGGAGTCGTGTGTATGGGAAATGGCGGTAGTGCAACTGAAGTCATGTGGTTTCGTTGAAGTGTGTCAGTCATGCATACCATGCACGTGATCCCATTCCGTCTATCACATGTTCTTATCCGACTTATCGATAATATCAGGGTCTTCTCTCCTCCTTCCAAACCAGGGAGCAGAGCCGCATGCATGAATAGGCAGGCCATGGCTCATGAGGAATTTATTCTTATAACTTTAGTACATAGATTTCATGTTCAATTAGCAACCGACCACGGACTAATAATGCGAGTACGCTATACGATGCCATCGCTAACCTAGGTTGACCGAACGACCTAATACGACTTCACGTACGAATAATAGCATAATTAATAGGGAAAAAGACTATATGAAAGAAGATATATCATAATCAATAAAACGAGACGAAAAGCACATATTCGGGTATCAGGCACATACACCTCGAAGGGTGTCATACCACGGAAAGAGATAAGGGTCACGTATGGTCATACGATAACCGTGCTTGGATCAGCTGGGTTCCGGTGTACAGTTTAGATGAAAATTGACGTTGCCGCCTCTGAAAACATCAAGAGTGATATTGTGTCGGGATAGAAGATACAATGTACGACGCACATTGTAAGTAGCAAAAAAAAAAAAGAATAGAAACCTCCCCCTCTCTTTTTTTGGTATGCCGATGTAAAAGTGGTTCAGATATCAATGACCTGCACAATATGTGGGGGATTCGTAATACGTGCTTGAAACATGGACGTAGGCGCCTTTTTGTTGAGCCGGCCTCGCGGGTTTAAAAGAAAATGGAAAAAGGAAAAACGCCTCTGGCTCTGTTCTGTAACATGGAATGGCGGCGCTACTCGCCGTCGTGGTGGAGGGGGGAGAAGTGAGAGGGAAGGAGTATAATGGTTAGTGGTTAGGTCTGTAGCATTGGTAGACAAGCAGGGGTCCTTCCTAAATTCTCTTCTTTCCATTCTTTCCCCCTCCATAACAGAGGGGCGATGTTGTTAATTAGGCCGAGACCAGTTGCATTTTTTTCTGTCTCCCGCCTCAAGCACGACGTATATTATTCTTGGTACTAATAGTCTCGTTTGCCAGCAAATGCCTCAAACGCTAGACTCGGCGAGTTGCTGCCTGCCCTGGGTCACGGCGCGAATACAGAGGGGTGAGGGGCGGATTTGACCGGAGGGCCATTGTTGGGTGGTGCATTAACTGCTAATAAAGCGCTGTTTTCCCCCCTATTATACTTTCTTTTCTCTCTCATCTACATCTGCTGATGGGATGCGCGTCTCTCTTTACCCCTCCGGGTTGCACGGCTTTAAACAATGGGGGTTGTCTGCATGTTGCCCAGCTGTTTCAAGGAGGCACAGGACTGGGGGGGGGGGGAGTATGATCATTCATCATTTCATGACATGACAAGGGACCATATTATTGAGTCCTAGCACACCCCTCACCCCTCCCTCGCCTAAAAAAAGCCGTCACCGCTAGGGTTTCCGGGGCAAAGAGGCAGAGTCAAGGTGTCTGTGTCCGTAATGACTTTAGATGAATGGAATATAATATCAGGCGAATAATCCCTTTGTCAATACTATTCGTAGCAGCCAACATCATTTTCACCTACGTCTGTTCTCTTCTTTCTACCCAAGTAATATTCAGCATGCGCCCATAATCCTAAAATCAACGTTGTCTGGTTAATATAATTAATACTGTAGCCGTCTTAGAACTTAGTGGTGCGATGGTGGTAGTGGGGTGAGAACGTGAGGAAAAAATGCGAGAAGCTTTGGTGGGGGGTTCATTTTCTGTTCTTTGCCTCCCCCTCTATTTGCAATGGTACGTAGCAGTAGAAACCACCACCCCACCTCTTGGCTCTTGCCCTTTCCCAACGAGATCCCATATCTTTTGCTCATTCTATCCCACCACCCACTTTCTCTTCCTTCCTGCTCTTTTTTTCTTCTCCCCTCTTCTTTTTCAATACCCATAATACCTTGCTTCAATCCCCTCTTCCTTCTCCAATAGTATTTTCATCATCTCAACACACGTGGCACACTCATCCACTATGGCGAACCGCAATCGCACCGACAGCATCATGGCTGTAACTGCCAAGGAGCACCTCGAGCTTGGTGGCAAGATCAACTGGCTGGCCTCTCTTGACACCGCCTACACCCCCGAGAGGAATTTCCGCCGCTCCTCCATTATCTGCACCATTGGTCCCAAGACCAACTCGCCCGAGAGTATCAACAAGTTGCGCGCTGCCGGTCTCAATGTTGTCCGCATGAACTTTTCTCACGGCTCGTATGAGTACCACCAGTCTGTCATTGACAACGCCCGCGCCGCCGAGGCCTCGCAGGAGGGCCGTCCCGTTGCCATTGCCCTCGACACCAAGGGCCCTGAGATCCGCACTGGTAACACCAAGAATGATGAGGACCTCCCCATCGCTGCCGGCAAGGTCATCAACATTACCACTGATGAACAGTACGCTACCAGCTGCGACACTGAGAACATGTAAGCCAATAATTCCTGGAACTTCAACAACTCAAGTAGGGACGGGAGAAGAACAAGGAGTGAGAGATGAAAAGAGATGAAACGCAGGTGATCAATGGAAATGATTAACGTATTTGTCACCAGGTACGTCGACTATAAGAACATCACAAGGGTTATCAAGCCCGGCCGTGTCATCTACGTTGACGACGGTGTTCTCGCCTTTGACGTCCTGAGCATCAAGGATGACAAGACTGTCGAGTGCCGCTGCCGCAACAACGGTTTCATCTCGTCGAAGAAGGGTGTCAACTTGCCGGACACGGACGTCGACCTCCCCGCCCTGTCTGAGAAGGACAAGGCTGATCTCCGTTTCGGTGTCAAGAACAACGTCGATATGGTCTTCGCTTCGTTTATCCGCAGCGGCAAGGACATCCGCGATATACGTGACGTTCTCGGCGAGGATGGCAAGGATATTCAGATCATTGCCAAGATTGAGAACCGTCAGGGTCTTAACAACTTCCCCGACATTCTCAATGAGACTGACGGTGTCATGGTTGCCCGTGGTGACCTGGGTATCGAGATTCCCGCCGCCGAGGTGTTTGCTGCCCAGAAGAAGCTGATTGCCATGTGCAACATTGCCGGAAAGCCCGTCATCTGCGCCACCCAGATGCTGGAGTCCATGATCAAGAACCCCCGCCCCACTCGTGCTGAGATTAGTGACGTTGGAAACGCCGTCACCGACGGCGCCGACTGCGTCATGCTTTCGGGTGAGACGGCCAAGGGATCGTACCCCAACGAGGCTGTCCACGAGATGCATGAGGCCTGCCTCAAGGCCGAGAGCTCGATCCCCTACGTCGCCCACTTTGAGGAGATGTGCAGCCTGGTCAAACGTCCTACTAGCACCGTCGAGTCGTGCGCCATGGCTGCTGTCCGCACCTCTCTCGACCTCGGTGCCGGTGGTATCATTGTTCTGTCCACCTCTGGTGTCTCAGCCCGCCTCCTTTCCAAGTACCGCCCCATCTGCCCCATCTTCATGGTGACACGCAACCCCACTGCCTCGCGCTACAGCCACCTGTACCGTGGTGTCTACCCCTTCCTGTTCCCCGAGACCAAGCCCGACTTTAGCAAGGTCAACTGGCAGGAGGACGTCGATAAGCGCATCAAGTGGGCTGTGAACCGTGCCCTCGGCCTTAAGGTCCTCACACCCGGCGACAGCGTCGTCGTTGTCCAGGGCTGGAAGGGCGGTATGGGTAACACCAACACCCTCCGCATCGTCCGTGCCGACCCCGAGCACCTGGGCATTGGCCAGCCTGACAACTAAAAAGCCGTTGGTCTACCATGACAAAAAATACTGCAAGAACAGCCATACTATTAACCCGAAAGTTTTTTTTTTTTTTTTTTTTTTTTGATTTTCATTTGTTTCGTTATCTATTTCCTTTGATGTCATGGATTTTTCTTTAGTTTAGGGCAGGGAGTAATTTGCATGCTTGATGAATGAATAAAAAATAAGCCCCGATAGAATAAACTGCTAGTGCATACAGTGTAAGGACGTTTTAAATTCTTGTTAGGTGTAAAGCGAGAGAAACGAAAACATAGCAAAGAAAAGTATAAAAATGAAGGTTTTTTTATAGTGAGTGTGATAAGAGTGGTTTAAAGAGTCAAAAGTCCCATCCATAAGGGCGTGTACGAACCTTATTCATTTTTAGTATATATTATTAGGTGTGTCCGTGTACACCCCTCCCCCTACAAATCTTTACTTGAAATTCTTCCTTAGATACTTTCTATATCGCAGAGCCAGTCAAAGCAGCGGGATCATGACGCAGGCAATGAAAGCCAAGAGACTATTCCCTCATCCGAATCTAAGGGCGTCATCCTTAGGAAAGACAGCCATAGACAGGATAGTGCTAAAGACGGATCACATCAGTGCGTTAGATGCTAGGGCTGACGCTTTTTATAAGGTACATTTGCAGATTCTTATCTTACGTAAAGATAGGATATATATTTGAAAAAGGGAAAAAAACTCGTCGCACTAAGCTGACCTTTACCCTGTGCTTCGCCACAAACAGTCGGCCGGTTGGGGTGTGGCAGTTAGCAGCCCGTCCCCTCTAGGGTGTTACGGCCCGTTATGCGACCTTCACGTGCACCCTATATTTTCTTTTTACTAACTTATTAATATATTCACTTACACTAACTAACACCCCGATTACTTAATAACTTTAATAATCGCCCTTCGCGATTATCTTAATCACCTAGTAATCGTAATAATCACTATAGACAATTACCTCGTCCCTTTAATAATTACCTAATATATAGTTAACCTTATTCCCTTAATCTAGTCACTCTCTTCCTAGCTATTAATAATAAAGTCAACGCTTCTATTAAAACTAGATCCCTAATACGAGCACCTACGACTATAACTGCCTTATTGCTTAGTTCGATATCTTAACTATCTCGCTAATATAAAACGACATTATCTCTATCTACCCTATAGCTTAGAGTTGACCCTAACGTCACACATAGCAGTTTATCTATAGTGCAGCTATAGAGCTTATTTAATTCAAGAAGGACCTTAGCTACACTAAAGCTACTAAAGAGCTTAATCAAATTTATTATATAGTAAGAAGAAGGTAACTATAATTCGGAGGTATTCTATTAGTTGAGGATAGGCATCTATTAGTAAAAAAGAAAGGAGGATGTTGTATTAGAAAAGGTAAAGAAGTTATTAGAATTAGAAGAGAAAAAGAGGTTATCTCTAGCTAAAAAAAGTCGCTTTCAAAGCTATAAGAAAAGGGTAGAACATTAAGGAATAATAGTAGAAGGCTAGAACAGCTTAATAAAACAGGCTATTCTATACAGTAATTATAGCGCGGATAGGTAGGTTAATAGAATTATAAGAATCTGCTCGCAATGGTGACTAGCACTATTTTTGGTAGTGCGTGTGAAGTTAGCCGAGTGGCCAATAAACTGGGGCGGGGCACGAGTGGTAGTCTCCTAAAGCCCCCTAGCTTCTCACTACCTACAATAGCTCTCAGTCACATATATATATATTACAACAACAACATCAACTTGGACAACATAATATGGCTCCCTTGAAGATGGAAGATACTCTGGTCCTTCTACCTGGCCTCTCTCCACTTTCAACCTCATTGAGCCGTTCATTACTGGATGCGGCGTATCGCGAACCCCTCACTTACGTCATCTCAAAGACCCCCTCGTCATCTAAACTTACCATCGCCTTTGCAGCACCGTTCCAACCTGTCAACTGGCCATTACATCAGTCTCTTCTGGCCGACCTCTACTCTATTGTCGTATCCGTGCAAGCTACTTCGGCGGCTATTGATGTCGACACGACTGTGCTCCTTATAGACTATTCAACTAGCAGCAAGACAACAGGCAACGACACAACGGTTCTGACGATTAGCACATTTGCGTCAAAGCCGACGTTATGGTCCCGCGTCTTTTACGACGGCTCTAAGACGGGGCGTGAGTTGCTGTCATCTTTTGTCGATGGCGGTGCGGTAGTTAAAAAGGATAAGCTTGTTGCGCTTGCCGATCTCACGCTCGCCGAAGAAGGCCGAAGCCAAAACGACGAAGTCACGGAACTGTACAAGACGGTCGTTGTGGCAGGGACATTCGACCATCTCCATATTGGCCACAAGCTTCTGATACAAGCGTCGACACTGCTTCTGTCCCTTCCCCGAGACGCCTCCACCCCAGCTCGTCTCATCATTGGCATATCCGGGGGGTCGCTGCTCACCAGTAAGAAATATGCGTCAGAGATGGAGTCATGGAGGACTCGTACCCAAAAAGTGATCGATTTCCTATCTGCCACCTTTGCATTATCGTCATCGCACCTCAGACAAGAGACGATTGGGGACGACGAAGAGGTCCATGCCTTTTTCTTCGGCGGCCGTCTGATTGTGCGCTGCGTCAAGATTGTCGATGTCTACGGTCCCACAATCACGGAAGAGGATATGGATGCTATTGTCCTGTCGGCAGAGACGCGCAAAGGTGGTGCCATGATCAATGAGAAGCGTGTGGGTAGAGGTTGGCGTAAGCTGCAGGTCCATGAGATTGGCGTCATTCACATCGATGGCCAGGAACTCGAGAGCAACGCGAACGATTTTGCCTCGAAGATAAGCAGCACTGAGATTCGTCGTCGTTTAGCAGAAGCGCACGGGGCGTGATACGCCTCGGCCTTTATTCTATATAGAAGCCACAACGGCTATAGCTTACATTTACTACCGTCCATTTTGCAACACTTTCTTATCTCCGTTACACAGATATATCATTCACTATAAATCTAAAGACAAACTCTTTGCTGGTATCTATTGTTATATAGGAGGCTTGGCGGGTCACCTTGCACATCACCAGCGAAGATCTTTAACTCAATACACCTTTCTCCTAGCACATCTCCCTTTACCGTCACTTTATATGCAGAAGACGCTTATTCGTTCATAATAAAAGTGTTACGACCCGTTATGCGACCTTCACGTGCACCCTATATTTTTCTTTTCTTACTCATTAACACCCTTACTTACACGCGATTATACCGATTTAGTAAGAATTACTATAAATTACCTTAAGGGCGATTACTACGATTCCTATTAAATCGCACTAATCGCCACGACCGATTAACACTACTACTCTATAATCGCCTAGTATATAGTTAACCTTATTTCTATAGCCTAGTCACTCTTTACCTAGCTATTAATATAATAGTTAACGCTTCTATTAGAACTAGTTCCTTAAGAACAAGTACCTACGACTATAACTGCCTTATTGCTTAGTTAGACGCCCTAACGGCCTCGCTAACATAAAACCGACACTTCTCTGACTACCCTATAGCCCAGAGTCGTACCAACCGTCACACTTGCCTATAGGTATACTAGTTTCGTAGGTACGATTCTTAAGGGGGCTCTCTAGGAGGTATATATCCCCTAGATAACTAACGAGAAGGCATATTAAATAATAGTTATATATTCGATAGCCTCGTCCTTAATTCTACTTCCCTTTAGATAGACGTTCTAGAAGGGGGCTAGATTCCCCTTATTTTATTAGCATACTCTAGATACCTCGCTAGTGATTTCGTTAACTCTAGCTTATTATTAAGGGCTTCGCTAACTTCTTCCTCTATCTAGGCCTACTACCTCTCCCTTTATGCTATATTATAGAGGTTAATGCCGTTCCTTATACTCCCTATAGAAATATAGACCCCTCTTCGTACTAGAAAGTTATAGGCCTCCCCTACTATCTTTAGGCTAATAGTGTTATACTTTTTCCTATCTTTTTAGGTAACCTAAAAAAGTAGAGATATCCTTAGTTATTAGATTAAATAAAGATAGTATTAGATCTTATAGCTAAAGAGCGTAATCTAATATATATAAGACCTCTCTTAAGAATGTATTTATATATTTTAGGGGATTAACCGTTTTAGTTAGGGATTAAACTATTTAGATATTAACACGCTTAGTAGCATATATAAGAATACACTACTAACACGCTTATATATATTAAAAGGTAGGTAAGGTGTTATATAGTGTTAAGTTCTTAATTTATTATCTTTAGAGCGATAACCTTAACTATTTTATAGTCGAATCCCGCTTACCTAAGCTATGTATACATCTTCTATAATAGACTTTCACAGCGGAGAAGCGTAACTAGGGACAGTTTTAGTTAAGAAAGAAGAAGAAAAGGGTGTCAAAACATCTAGGAAGAGGCTGCGAGAGGACCTAGACAATCTCTACGCAAAAGATCGATAAATGCGAAATACCTTAAGAGCTTCTAAAATGATTTATACGATTATGTTCCCCTCTTTTGTTCTTAAATATTATCCTCTCCTAACGACTTTCTAGGTTCCTACTACGGAAATGCTAGTTATCCTATATAACAGGGGTGTTTGATCATCTTAAGAAGACCAAGAGTGACTGCTCTCGATAGTGGAGGTGGCGTAGAGACAATAGAGCAGAAACCGCCACGGAGCTATCGCGACTAATTTTGCATACACAGCTTGAGCACTGTCTCTTGGAGATGTTTGTAGGACGACCCTTTATACTGCCGGTAAAGACGACACCGCCAGCCCCTGGTGGGCTATCGGAGGAAGGAGGGGAGTGGCCATGGTTACCCCTGATCCGGGATTGCATAGTGGCAGTCAAGGAAGCGCTGGACATATGCGAGGCGATCCATATAGGAACAATCGGCCTCACTAGGTCGTCTAACATTAAGTACAATGCGTGTCGGGCGTCACTCAGGTCCTACTGGCGTATAGCATCCGGGAACGCATGAGCGCAAAACGCTAAGCGCTCCGCCGTGGGCTCGATGCCATTAGGGCTATGACATGCGCAGGTGAGTCTACGCGGATAGAGGTCTAGCTTATCGAATCACTCGAGGCCGCCCTAGAGCACGTCAACGCATTTCTATCGCTAGCTATAACGCATCCCGCCGATGAAGACCCGGTCACGAGAGACGCTACTATAATTAAGGGCGGATACGAGGGATTCATAAATTGGTGGCGCCACAACCGCGCAGCCGACTCCTCAGACCAAATTACCAGGAACGACCATCATCATCACAATCTCCGTACTACCAACGATAATAGCGATAAGCCTTTCTTCGGGCAGGCCTTCCCGTATCTAGATTAGGTTTCGGCTTTATTTGAGACGGCTTATGGCGATGGCGGCAACACTAGCGGAGGGCTTGTTAACAGCTTGAGCCTTAGGTTGGCCCCCGATCAGTCTTTAGATCAAATGGGTTGAATATTACTATATGGGATATGTACATGAAAATCCCAACATGCGGGCTTGGTTCTCAAACTTTACTGTCTCGCGGAACCTTGTCCCGCATGACCGACCGCCATATAGTCAGCGATAGGTGCTCTCGCGCGCTATTTTACTGCTCTAGGCTGATCTAGTAGGGAAGAGGTGCGGCATGTTCCGCGGCAACCCTACTATCAAAAACCAAGAGAGCGATATGCTTTACGGAGTTGAGTATCTGGGGCATTCCGTGGCCCGTGAACCTAGCGTAAAGGTAGGTACTAGGGCGAGCGGGCATAGAGCTAACGAAGGGGAAGCCGTCGGCGGAATAACCCATAATGCCCGTCTATACCCAGTCCGTATAGAAGTCTAAGTCTTCCCAGCCGATAAAGTAACGTTATATATAACCATTAAGGTAGTGTTGCGCCTTGTCAATGAGTAGCCTATCGTCGGTCACGTTGGACCAGCTGCCGAGATCGTGGAGGTAGTCGCGCCGCCCACTGCCCACGATTATACTGCCGTCGGGTCGCGGCACCAGGTAGTCGTACTCGATATTGTTAATGCATAGTATGTAGCTATTAGTGATAAGCGGGTAGCGCCGCGGAGGGCCCGCGAGTCGCACGTATATACCGCGGACCGGCACGAGCTTGTCCCGTAGCTCTAGTAGGAGTGCATAACTATAGCCGTTTATAGCGTGGATTACAGTCGAGGTCGTAATAGAACCCCGCGTCGTCACGACTTTTGATCTAGCACTATCGTTATATAGTGACATAGAGGTAACGGGTGTCGTTGTCTATAGATTGACATCACAGGAAAGGCAGACCTCTAGTATGTGGCATACGAGATGGTCCACATACGAGTCCCTTCGTACTTCAGGCATGATTTTGCGCCACGCACGCGGGAGATCTTAGCGTGTGTGAGTCGTAGTTACATACATGCATGTGCAGGGACAGTGACTCCATGTCGATCTCCCGCCTCTGCTCCTCACTTACCTGCTCAGCTTCAGGGCTAGCATTGTGCTCAACAACCAGGGCGGTTGATATGCCGGCTGCGACGGTCTATTTTAGCGCTGACTCCACCTTAGAGTTGATTTCATCGCCTAGGCAAACGTCGGTCACTATGGTCTCCTCGAAGTCGCAGTCAATGCCGCACTCGCCCATAAGTTCCTTAAGCTTTTAGACCTGCGGTGCCTCAAAGGTCGCCACATGCTCGGCAACGTTCTTTCCATGAGTCCCAAGCACCTGCACGCAGGTATGGGTCTGGCTTGAGATGGCCTATCGGAAGGGAATGGCCTCGTATTGAAAGGGGACATGGCTGGAAACAGGCGCTTTCGATCAATGACGTGCACTGCTATGGCGGTGGAAAAAAAGAAGAGGCCGTAATGTGCCATGTTGAATCATTGAAACAGCCGATACATGCATGCAAATATCCGTCCACAACTCCGAATAACAATCGTCGCGCTGATGTCATTGGATGATGTTGCTTCTAGCGCGCTTTTCCCGGCCGGGCCGAGGCGGGCCGGTCTATGGGGCCGGTCACGGCGGGGGGTTGCTCCGGCGGGGGGTTGCTCCGGCGGCGGCCGAAACAGGCGGACGCTAAAAATCAAAAGCAGCAGAGGCCAAGCCCCTTGTGAAGAATAATGCAAAAAACTCAAGGAAGGAATACTGATTTCGATAATGAAGAGAAAGAAAACATACAATAGGGGTGTCAATTGATTGTGAAGGCATTATTTTTATGTGTTGTATATGTGTGTATTCTCTATGTCTTCTAATAAGACATTGGTCTATTATCGATGGAGTCTTTCACTGGTACATCTTCTATTAGGCGTCTTACTTCGCGATAAGGTCTGGGTAAGTATTGAAAGAGCCCTCTTGCGCTCACTACTACGATCGCCACACTTTACCCTACACTACGAAAATGAAGTCGGCTTTTAAGCCCCAATGATCTCCACTGGCTAGGACTACGGCAGTTGGTCTTCCCCCGAGTTGGGAGCATGCAAGTACCCGTATATGTATTTTGGATATCAACGGGCCCGTAATCTTTATCCTTCTCCTTGTAAATAGGGACTCTGGGACTTTTGTATATAGTTTATGCGAACTCTACACCATGACCTGCCGAGTAGGGACGAAACATGCATGTTTATGTTTCCGTACCCGTATTCAACGATATGGTAAATTCTAAAATTAGATGCCCGGCGTAAACTGGGGGCCCAGTCCGGGATTTACTCGTATTCGTGCATGGTTGGAAACTGGCAAAAGCATCAGCAATGCGAGGCTCGGCCTTCTCTCTCTTTGTGAGACCCTATACGAGGCGGTGGGCCGGCGGGTATCTCGGCATGTCCGTCAATTCCTATGCCAAGAGCGGCTTTAGTAAAAACACAGCACGAGCCAGCACGAAATACGAGTATTCGTCTGTGAGTATGGACTCCATGATCCACATTACATAACAACCACGAGAGGTAAGTATAAATTACGGACTTCTCCAACATGTCTAACACTATTGGCTGGCTCTTGAATCCCTGGGTCTTGCGTTCTGATATGACAGGGGTAAAACTCATCTCGCGGGGTGGGTATTTTCTAATGCAGTCGCCTTCATTGGCAGCAAGTCACATCCCTGTACAGCCTTACAGGTACGAATTTCTCGTATTTTCCTTTCTTCTTTTCTTGGCACGGTACCAACGGTGAACAACGCGACGTGATGCCAAGTAATAGACTCTTGTCCTCGAACTTAGCACATATACAGGACCGCGCCCGCCAGCGTTTTCCTGATTTCGAGTATAGACTGTAATCCCAGCGCACTCTGTCCACAATGAAGATCTCAACTACGACCGGTCTTGTTGGCCTGGCTCCCTTGGCTGCTGCGTCGCAGCTTGTCTGGCCATCGAAATGGGACGAACTCGAGGATCTCTATACCATGATGAGCGGATACGGCAAACGTGGCTTCGCCGACGGTTAGTGATGAGCATTGGTCAAGTGTTGATCGACTGAAAGACAATGAACTAACCTGCTTAGCCCTTACAACGTGCGAATTTGGAACCTTCATCCCCGGACGTCAAAACTCGGCCGAGTGGATCCGGACAGCTTTCCATGACGCAGTGACGCACAATGTCGAAGCTGGAACCGGAGGGTTGGACGCTTCTATCTATTTCGAACTCGACCGACCTGAGAACCCCGGTAGTGCTTTCAACAATACGTTCGGCTTCTTTAGCGGCTTCCACAATGCCCGCGCTACAGCCTCGGACCTCACAGCCCTGGGCCTAGTTGTCGCGACTGGCGCATGCGAAGGACCCAAGGTTCCCTTCCGAGCCGGCCGCGTCGACGCCTACCAAGAGGGACCTCCAGGCGTGCCGGAGCCATCAACAAACCTGAAAGACACGTTCGCGACATTCACTAAGGCCGGCTTCACTAAGGAGGACATGACCGCCATGGTGGCATGCGGACATGCCATCGGTGGCGTTCATAGTGCCGATTTCCCCGATGTCACCGGGATCAAGGCGGATCCTAATAACGATACAACCGTGCATTTTCAGGAGGACGTTAGTCGTTTCCACAACGGGGTCGTGACAGAGTTCCTGAGCGGAACAACCAAGAACCCCCTAGTCGTCGCATCTAACGATACCCTGAACTCTGATAAGCGCATCTTCGATAACGATCGCGCCACGATGGAGAAGCTGTCTTCTACAGAAGAGTTTAACTCTATGTGTGCCGACGTCTTCGCCCGCATGATCGACACTGTGCCCAGCAGCGTCAAGTTGACTGACGTGATTGACCCTTACGATGTCAAGCCGTACGTCGACGAGTTGTCTCTTGACAGTGAGGGTGAACTTCATTTTACGGGGTCTATTCGTTTCAGCCTTTCGGCGGCCAGCGGCCGAGACGCCAACGATTTATCCGTCGAGCTGGTCTACGCCGATAGAAGCGGCGAGACCAACGCCACTATACCAACGACGCACGCCATGTGGCAGGGGGGTCTCGGTAGCGGCTACTTTGGCAATTTTGTCTCCGTTGAGTTCGACACCACCATTAACGCCGAGAAGGGCATCAGCAACTTTTGGATTAAGGAGACGACTCCGTCCACCAATATCACCAAGACTCATGACAACCAGAACACTGGAGGCTACAAGGTCGACGATACCGTCCTCTATCAACTATCAGAGTCTTGCTTCGAGGTCAACAAGGTCAGTACGGGTGCAGCACCCATAGTGGTCACAGCCATGGTTCGAGACGAACGCGCTTCGGACCCCCTAACATTGGCGGTCACGAAGAAGCTGCCGATCCAAGGAGTCATCGTCCCTAAGCTTCAGGTCGAGACCACCAACTTCGAGCCTACAGGGAAGAAGCTGAATGGATGGACTGCCTTCCAAGCCAATACTACGGTGGCTAGCCAAAACCTAAGGTTTGACATTGCTCTAGGTGGCGAGAAGCCCGCGGGTGTTGAGTTCCAGAACTCGAATCTCATGCCTGAGCAGTGTTCATAGTCTTCATATATAGTAACATTAAAGCCATCGTAATGTTTATATCACTCTATAATATTCTTTTCATTTTAAACTAGAAAGTCATTTGCCTTTCAAGACCGACGCTCTAAGACTTGACCACAAAATACTGCATGTCTCTCATCTCTACTCCCTTCTGGCAATGCAACGTCCATGTCTCAACGTGGTGGTAGGTAGGGGTGGTTTAATGCAAGACAGAATCTCATCTCCTCTCCTCCAGGGAGTGACGTATTAGACGCGACCATATCTGCCCTCCTCTCTCCCGTCTCCTACCCCTAGGCCCAAGCAGCCTCTCTCAATTAAAGCTATAAAGCGGCATGCTAGACCATTTCTCACTTCTGTTATCCGTGGGCCGTGGTCATACGCTCCTTCATATGTCCCCGATCTTCTTAATCCAGGTATCTATACGGTCGGGATAGACAGCGGGTCGGTGTCAGACGGCCGAAGTCGGTTTGGAGGCACTCAAAGGATCTTTCATTGAGAAAACCTATCGGCACGACTATCCTCAACACTCAGACTGTCGCTGTGGACTTGATCATTCTCGCAAACCCAGCCCAGTGAAACCCAGTCCAGTATATCTTTCACTTTCTTGATGCATTCCTGCTTCGGGGTGCTTCTAGTGCTCTCTGCTCATAGCCTTATGTGCCGGAGCCTGTTTGCACCGCCGTTACTGAAAATGTTAAAGATAGACCGGGAGAAGTTCTAGTCGACGGCGCAGTTAATAAGGTTCGTCCGCAGGGGGCCGTAGTTGGCCGGCGGGATGGGGTCGTCGAGATAGGAGGGCGAGGTCACCATTACCAGAGACATCGCCAAGGCTGCCATCAGGGGGTGGTCTCTCGCTTTCTCAATTAAGCCGGATACATATAGGTTCGAGGGCTGGGAGCCCCGCCAGCTCGCGGTAGACGGATACCTCTTCCCGGTTGCCCTGGGTGCAGCTGATCATGATATCAAGCTGCCGCATACGGGTACAAAAGCCGTAGAACTCTCGGACACACTATAGGCTGATGTCTTCTGTCAGCCTATTCCGTCCGAGCGACAGGCCGGGCTTGCCCACTACGGCGCGGAAGGCGTCCTCCTCTAGCGGGACTTGGGGAATCTTCCCTGTGCTCCATTGATAATGGGTGAGGAAGAGACTGCTAAGGGGCACAATGGCTGCGAGAAGAGGACTAAGGTCGCTTCTTTTACTCGACGGTGTCACATTAAGCTCTAGCCTTCTAAGAGAGTGGAAGCCAGGGCCGCCACAAGCCAGTAGGCGCAGCAGGCGTGTCACGGACCGTACCTTCCCTACATAAGGGGAGTACGTACATATATATATTTAGCTAGAGCTACGAGTTAGAGAAGAGAGGAAAAGATTAATATACACCTATATTAACACCCTGCCTATATGCTTTAGTGTTCGTGATTAGTATCGTCTACATTCCCGATCCCCGTCGCGAAGAGACGCTATAAAGCGTGTCGCTTTAGCGTCTATATACTCGATATAAAGACTCTCTAGCTCTCTCTGGCTGCATGACAGTCGGCGAAGAAGGCCCTTAAGTAACGGGCGTTCTATATCTACCCTCGTCCATCAAACCCTTTCTACCTATCTAGCACGTCGGGTTGTGTTCTAAGAGCCCTTCGCACCTTGGCACTATGAACGAGAACTCGTATCGCATAGTGATTGATCTGAGGTTAGGCGCTGTCTGCGAGACCATGTGCATGACGGCGCCTTTGATTGTGAGAGCCTCTTGACGGAGCTACGAAAGGTAGGGTAGATTAAGATAGGAATTTAATATAAGAATCCTCCTTCCTCGAAAGTTCGAGGAAGGAGGAGTAACGATCAATACACATACACACTGCCCTAGTGCCTTCGCTGCTACATAACCGCTACCTCGCTGTTATCTAGCAGACCTTGTCACTTACCCCACACCCTCCTTTTCCCTAGAAGACTCGTTGCCTGACATTAGCCCTCCGCTATATAAGTAACCCGAAAGTTCTATAAAGGAAGTTGGTCATGATGTTACCCCTTCTCTCGATAGTATCCGACTGACTAAACCGTGTTAGATTCTCCTGTCCTCTTAGGTGTTATAGGTGGGTGTCGAGTACGAGGAAGCCCAGGTGAATATGAATGCGGTGATCTTGGACAGCCGCTATAGTGACAGATAAATGAGAAGATAAAGCCCGGTTTGGATAGAGGCTGGCGATTGAAGAACCAGATCTTTAATCTTCTATCCAGAGAGAAACAGAGAGAGGGGAGGGGGGAGGAGGGGTAGAGAAGAGGATATAACCTATAAAATAAAGTCTTACGATGTCGTAGTAGCATGTCACGGTTGAATCCTCCTCGGTTGATCAGCCAACTCAGGTAAGGCTAGCCTTTAGAAAGAAGGATCCTTTCTAGCAGATGTCGACTGATTTATCGATCATTATAATGGGGGTGAAAGAGATGATAGAGTATATCTTTAAGGCTTATATTAAAGGAAAAGAAAACCAAGAAAAGAGAAGAGTTTAAGTCTTAGATCATATAAGTTAATACGCGCACTGCCGGCCTGTTACGACCCGTTATGCGACCCTCACGTGCATCCCTATAGTTTCCTTACTTATCACACGATTACCCGCACTATTAGGAACACTCCCTCTAGATCACTAAGCTTACCACTATCGAAGCCATAATCTTAGTAATATAACTATTACGGATCACTACGCTTACTAAGCTTACTACCGTGATCCCTCTAATCTATATAATTACCGCAGTATATAGTTAACCTAATTCCCTAGCTAGAACACTCTTTCTACCCTAGCTATTAATCATAAAGTCAACGCTTCTATTAAACTAGTTCTTAATATAAACACCTATAACTATAACTGCCTTATTGCTTAGTTCGACACCCTAACGGCCTCGCTAATATGAAGCCGACACTTCTCTAACTACCCTATAGCATAGAGTCGTACCAACCGTCACACGGCCGTAATAGTATAAATGATGTCGATATTGCATCTACTATATAGATGTTAAACGGTTCTAATAGAGTTTACATATCCAAGTGCTTATAGTATCGCTAAACTCCACAGCATCTTAAGCTATTAATATAAGATAATATATAATGCCCATTTGGCATATAGAGGTATTATTACGGCCCGTTATGCGACCTTCACGTGCACCCTACATTTTTCTTACTCATCACTATTATTTCTACTTACACACAATATAAGCGATTACCTTAATCACTTAGCGATCGTAGCGATCACTAACCTAACGATTACCTTAATTACCTAGCGATCGTAATGATTACCTCCCGCGATTATTATATTTATTTATTGATCGCCTAGTATATAGTTAACCTTATTTCTATAGCCTAGTCACTCTTTACCTAGCTATTAATATAATAGTTAACGCTTCTATTAGAACTAGTTCC